TGTGTCTGAACGTAGTTGATCCAGGCTGCGCTCGCATACCCGCCAGATGCAGCAGGGTGCGCCGGCCCCGAGCGGTCAGCGTAGCCGCCGTGATGGCGAGCTGTGGTAAATGCCTGGTTGTGGACTGACGTGTTTTCTGTCTGCTTGCACACGCCCGGAGATGGACCGAGTGAGGGGAGAGGAAGGGAGGTGCCGGTGAAGGAGTCGTGCCACTCGGTCGGCATTGGTTTCCGGTCTCTACCTGGCGTACCGGCGGGCGCACTCGCGTCTGGCCATATATTCGCGGGTCCGGCCGTCTGTTCGCGTGCGCATCTACCCGCCGCACACACGCTCGTGTGCGCCTACTTGCCGCCGCCAGTCGTCTCTCTCCAAACGGACGCATATTTCTTTCACGCCCGTCGCCTTACTTGCGGCGGGCCGCCTCGCCCCTCTACTCGCTCCTTCTCGTTGTCCACTCCCCTTCGCGCCCGTAACTCGCCTTCTAACTGCCCCCGTCCATTCATCGTCACGATGCAACACGTACACTCGTACACGTACACGCATCTATCCCCGCTTCATATCCACCAACAAGTTCTCGTTCTCCCGCGTCCTATCGTTGCTGTATGTTGTAGCTCGTCGCACCACGTTTCCCCGCTTCTCGTTCCTCCACGCCTTTCCAGTCACGTATCTAATAGCTGCACCTCTGCATGCTCCACACCACACTCCCTGTTTCGTGTCGCTGCCGTTTTGCATCTCCATTCTCTGTTCTCTCCATCCACGTCCGCTTTACCATCCTGTCTCGTCCCATCCCGTTTCCGCCTTTCTCTCTCCATACACCCACCACATCCGCTCGATGTCACGACACCACCACCATCGAGGTCCGCCAGCGCCGCGCCCGCCGCACTGAGTTGTCCTTCCGCCTCCATCCGCCGCCGTTGCGGTCCAGTCTGAGGCGGAAGAGGGCGCCGAGTTGCCGGTCGAGGATGTCATTTACGAGGAGAACAGGTCGATCCTTCAGGATCTTGAGGAGGATCGAAGAGGAGGGCCGTATCTTCTGCGTTCTTTGGTGAGGGCCGGCTGCCGCTCTATTGGTTGGGGAGGTGCGCGCGGTTATAGAGTTGTCACAGTCCGTTCCTCCTGTAGGGCGGGCTTTACGAACGAAATGATGAAATATTGGTCTGAATGAACGACGTTGTGTGAATGCGTGATTGAGGGACGATACATGATAGCTCGAGGGATCCAAAATATCAGGCAAAGCCTGTCGTCCGCTCGTATCCTGAAGTAGAGCCTCATCAGTATATTGTAGATGATGGGAGCACTCGATCTAGCGTGTGCAAATAGTATTGTGACTAAGAGTGTTTATATCAAACATTACGCGAGGGGTTCGGGGTTATGACATGCAATGCGTACAGTATGCTGATACTATAGTCGATACAAGATACAGGGGAATGCGAGAAGGGTAGCGCGATGGTTTATCGGCTGACGAAGTAACCGCTACTGCATAACCAGATCAGATGATCCTCATGAATTCATCCTCCTCAGCTTGCTCCCGCGCCATTTCTTCTCGCCGATGCTGCATTCTTTGCGTTAATGGGGTGATTGGCGCGGTTATCTCAAACGCAATGGGTCTCGGCGGGCCAAGGGATGATCCGTCTGCATTCGCTCTACCTTCCAAGTCACTGAACGCCCCTCGCTCCATCTTGTCCATGACGGGCGATGGAAGCTGGGCGTCTTCTCCAACGCTCTCGGATAGATGGTCCACGGAGATCCCGTCTCGTACAACCTTCATGTCTCTGACCTTACTGTCAGTTCCGGCGCTGGCCCTGGATCCGCTATCCGCGTAGTCGCTGGCGACGATTGTCGAGAGCTCAACCTGTACCGTAAGATCCTCTCGACGCGATCGGGAGGAGCCCGTACGTGCACCTCCAGCTATATGCGATATCATGGTGGATGTGCTTCCCCACTGCCAATTCATATGATGTGCGACAAAGACACGGATTGCGCGAATCAGTGCCTGTGCAACAAGGAGCATTAGTCTCGAGCTTCGTGGTCTCGCTGAACAACCATCTCGTACTGGATCTGTACCCGCAAGAAGCGCGTAGACTACCGCACGACCGCCATACAGGAAGTCGCTGAGGAGTAAGATGCGATAGTCCTTGAAGTTGAGTCAAGATGCTGTAGGGTGCGATGATGGGTGAGGAAGAACGTACATTGGCGTTTTGAATGCCGTTTGTTGATGTTGCGTGTATGACACATACAATACTCGTCAGGTTTATGACGCACGAGGCAAATGGGTACAGTGCTATACCACTTGACTTAGCTCCGCTCGTATCGAACTGTACTTCGAAAGGGAGATGCATACCGATGCGGATAATCACGTTTGCATAGGTATGAGCGTGGATGGACATTGGTTTCAAGGAGGCCATGCTTGAACTGGATCTGAGTCGGCTTTTGCGTTGTGGGTGAGATGACCCGGATGACCTTGACGCAGTTACTGCTGATATGATGTTCTTTTGGCGATACTGATGAATGTCATTAGCGGTGAGTCGACGTGAAGGCGGACGAGCGGGCATACATGCACTCTAAGCATATAGGTAGTCACAGCGCACGCAGTCACTACCTCTCCCGCGACCGTCAGTCCCGTCCAGATAAGCTGTGTGCCGATCTGCCATGCAAGGCGCTGCTGCTGATTGTCGTTGGTGTACCAACAATCTTTGACCAACGGATCCCAGCTACGCAGTAGTAGTGTTGAGCCACCCCCGATGTGCAAACGAGCGTTTGTAGTAGACGTACCCGTACTGTCCTGCAGCATACGGTGGTATCGTGATTGCGAGAGCCATGACGATCGAGCATGCAACGTAGTATTTTTCAAGATGCTTCCCGCGCACTCCGTGTGCGACAACGAGCCTGAAGGGTGTGAGAGTCTACGAGGTTCCCTGCAAAAAGAATGACTTACTGTAGGTTGAGCGCGATGCAGAATAGTAGGAAGCTGGACATTTCGAGTGTAAGCTACAACAGGTATGTTAGTGCATGGTCAGGTGTCTATACCGAGAGTCTCACCTGCAAGAGGAAGATAGAGAGCCCACATCCAGTGCTGGGTCCTGTCAAGGTCCCGCCGATAGCGCTCACAACCCCAAACACCATGCTGTAGTCGAGCTCGGTGGGTGACAGTATCACGGGATCATAGATGTGCCAGCGGCTTACTTGGCTATCAGGGAGTAGAGCATGAGTCGAAAGCTAACGCGATCCAGATGCGCCCTTGAAGCTGGATGGGTATACAGGGCACCGATGACCACGAGCACAAAGAAGCAGAGGCCAGCCCCTACAGCGGATGTTACGGCCCATAATTGGTTACTGAAAGGATAATCATCTAGCTTCAGCTTCGTGCGCGTCATCATAACATGCACTCACGAGACGTCTGCCATTTCTGGAGTGAAGTAGGTCGACATTCTGGCGGCCTCTCAATGGCACGGGGAGAGTGCTGCGCAGATGATACGTTGCGGGCATGAGCTGATATAAGGTAGACCCGTACAGCTGACTACCGGCGCCTTCCTGATCAAGAGCGGAAAGCTGTGGTATCGGTGACAGCATTTCAATGTCTATCAGGATCGAACAGGCCCCACTCTTGCGCGCTGTCCGTAGCGCTCTCATCGGGCCAGGCGATGCTGCCAATTGAATGCGGGGAGCCGCGCGCACGAGGTTGCTTGGGCGCGAGACGGGTACGTCGAAGCGATCTAAACTTCGAATCCGAGTTTTCGAAGACATCCACCTGCGAATCCGACGCGCGGTTGTGGGTAGCCGCGTCGCTGTCGTGGCGTTCTTGACGGTTTGAGGCAGGCGAATCGTCTTTCGGGCTATGTTCCGGGGCGATTCCATCAATGCGACAACCGATCATCATCGCACAAAGAAGATGTAGCACTGCGTCCGCTAGCATGAAGACATTCGTGTGTCCATCGCACCAGGCAGAATTTGAAATGAAATGTCTGCAGCCGGTAGCTGAAGATACCATTCCCTTCGAGAAGCTTGCATGTAGAGTTGGCCACAAGTCCAGGGAGAAGTTTGCCCTTGTAGCCGGACATGAAGAGCTACTTCCGTGCACCTCGCAGGGTCTGGAGCTTCTCTAACACGGTTGACCACTGATGTACTAGAGTTAAGTATCAAAAAGACGAACCAGTAGTTTTTCATCATATTGAACACTGTTGTGGCAGTCGGCAAGATACATGCGGCATTCTAGCGAATTTAGTAATCCCTCGGTGATAACCGGAGGTCTTTTCGGATCTTCTTTCCCGATCATCGCATGGCACTGATAACGATAGGACCTTGAATGATGAATATGCAGCCGTAGCTCGAGTATACCCTTGAGAGAGACATCGTGTATAGGATTGGCAGGTATCAACTCACAGGCTAGTACTTAAATACCATTCGAGGCGCATGTGAACGGTGAGCCGACGGTGTCCGTCCGGTAACTGTCAATGATCGACTGAACGGAAACCTGTTTGAAGAATAGAGAATATGGGCCTCAAACAAATGGACAAATGATGCATGAAAGACGCACATAAGTCCCGGCCCCAAGAATGTACAACCCAAGCCCGATAAGCGCGTAGTTCACCAACGTTTCACCGGTCCTGATGGTTCCCGCCCATTTTGATCGGCCGGGGTACAGTGTGAGATATGCCATCCCCCAGTAGATGAACCTGAAAGTCGTCAGCAAGGGTTCTATCATCCACATGGGAGGTGATCCCTACCCAAACCAACTATCTGCATAGAGTATTTCGAATGAGCATGATGCACTGACGGGTGAAGTGCCCTCGACTGACCGAATAGCGAGCTCATGAGGCTTAGCATGTCTGAGAAGAAGGGAATAACCTCTGCGATGACCCATGCAGCAATCCAGGTCAGAGCGATGAGACTTGCCCAGACCAACCAGCCAACTACGGTATTGGAGTGCCGGTGCTTAGAGTCGCGGAAGAGCCTGAAGAACATGAAACGGGCCGATACAGACTGCCATCATCATGTCAGCATAGAGGGATCATTTCAATTCCCCTGAGATGCGACGAACTGAGTAAAGTGACCCGAGGTACACGATGGTAGGTATGGCAAAGCTGAATGCGATCTTCTTGAATTCCGGCGTGAGGGACCCAAAGGCGGGCGCAGTGATGTACTGATTTCCTGCCGGCGCGCACAATGTGAGTAGGTCGGGCGAACAAGCAAGGCTGCAGGACCTACCGACATAATGGTACATGAGTGCACCGCAGAGAGTGAAGACAATGACAGAGCATATGGTGGAAGCCCATAAAGCTGTGGGAGACATTTACCGTGTTGCAGAACGCTCAACCCGACCCAAAAGAGTACAGACCTTTAGGAAAGTCTCTAGGGTCGCGCATCTCAGCGATAAACTGGCTGAGTATGAGATAGTGAGTTATCGCATCTTCTGTCCGCACGCACGGAAGGGAGAGTGATCTGCCCGATCAGAGTATACGATATGTTGAGAAAAGCAGACATAGCTGTCACACGTCTGAGATGGTATTGTGGTGCCAACGGAACATGTCACACTCACCAGCAACGTACGCGGTGCCGCCGACCGGAAAGGCGGTCACAATAGGCATAGAGCCATCATAACCCTGCGGGTGGGACTGAACGCCCGAGAATATGATGCCGAGAATGACAGAGATGCCCATCGAGACGGCGCTCATAGCTCCGAGACCGCTCAGTTGGTTGAGCGTACGTGGGAGCGAGCAGAAGAAGCAGAAAATGGCAGCAATTGCACTGAATCCGATCGTGCAGAGCGCAGAGTTTGTGATCGTGTTCAGATATTCGGCCCCAACGAGACAATGCAGCGCTAGACGCTACGGTATCAGATCTAGGTCAGAAGACTACACCAAATAACATACCTTGTATGAACGTGTTATTCAGAATGAACATGACAGCCGTGATGTTATATCCCCATTGCGACCCGCCAAATAGTATACGACCAATATCGCATACGTCGCGGACTTCGGGGTGCTTCATGCAGACGCGCCACAGGATGAGCGAGGTGTACTGCACAGTAGCGGCCACCCCGATCGTGACCAGTATCCCTGGAACGAGGCCCAATACCGAGTATGACCTGTGTGAGTGGGTGAGACAGACAGTATCATTCGTATTGAAAGCAAGAGGATACCACGGGAAAGAGAGTATAGCCAGACATATGTACTCTGAGAAGAGTAATGCAGCAGTCTACCGAAAAAGATCAGCACCGAGCAAACCTGGAGGGCGCGTTCGCTCACCTTCTGCCAGGAACAAGTGCGGTATTGGATCTCATGATCGCTCTCCAACGCAATTTGCACCTCTACGGTGTAGACATCGACTGCCACGAGATCCTTTACCCTCTTCTCGTCCTCAATTTCAATCTTCGAGAGAGTGTCACTTGTATGTGGCATAGATGAGTGAGGAGTGGGATGTACGACGGACATGGCGCCGAGAGAGAAGGCAGGTCAGAATGTAGATTTATCTCTCAGAGATGGCTCACACCCTTTGAAGGAAGCTGATCATGGGACGAGAGAGGATGCTATGGTGTGAGCAGGCATGGCTGGCTGAGGCTAGCTGCGGTACGAGTCTTTCCCACTTTGTACGACATTACAACCATTGAGCCCGCAAAGAGTGCGTATGTGGTTCACAGTCCACAGAGGAGCACCGGTGAGTCTATCCGGAGTCTGCATCGCAGCCCAGCATTGTCAGGCGCCGTTAATACAAATAGAGGTTGCAGCCGCAACCCTGTTACTATAACGGCACAAGCGATGGGGTACGATGTCAAGCGCCTCGCTGGGAGAATCGTGGAGCCGCGCCTACAGAAGTACCAGGAGTGGGTAAACAACGCCGTACGCCGACCCCAACTCAAGCACGCTTCTCAAGTCTTGCCAGTCGGGGAACTGAGATGCGAGTGCCTGAGGACAGCCGCCGAGTTTGAGGTTGCCGATAAGAGAATGAGGTGGGATGATAGCTTCCAGAAGCGCAGCAGACGAGGGTTTCTGCAGGACGATTACACGTCAGCGAATGCGTGGGATTCTCGTCGTACCCGTTGCCAGATGAGCGTCGGTGGACGGTTTGCACGCCGCGGCATTCTACCGCGGCCGCGGCCGAGGGCGCGGGAAAGTTCCGCCGCGCGGCGAGGCTCGCGAGGCTCGCGTCAACCTCGCGCTACGACCTTCCACCATCGATGTCGTGTGTGAGGTGCTCAGTCCAGTTTGCCATCGTTATCGAAGAGCGCCGTCCGCACGTGTCAGCCCTGCACTTGCCCGATTCAGATAAAGTGAAGTGCGGGGTAAATATGAACGGCCAGGCACTGTCCCCCTTCGCCCACCAGCTGCTGCAACATGCCCGCACATATTCTGCGCTGTGCCCAACGCGTGCGCCTCCAGCCCCTCGCTCGCCGACTCGCCACGGCAGCTACGCACGGCACACCGACAAACTCGTCTCTCGCGCCGTCAGCTCGGCTTCAAGGTTCTCTAAGCGCATTCCCCAGCCGCGACGAGACTCCGTCAATTGGCACCCGCTTCCCTGCCTCTGTTCAGCTCTCTACCTTCCTCTCTGGTCCTCGCACAGAATCCGACGCGTTGATCAAAGACCTCGCGACACTCGTCTCTCACCGCGGCGTGGTCTTCTTCGAGAACCAGGATATCACCCTGCCGCAACAAAAGGAACTGGCCTTCCGCATGGGCAAGCTCTCCGGAAACCCCTCAACCTCCGGCCTGCACAGACATCCGATCTCTGAAGATACTGGCGAGCTGGGAGGCGACACATCCGTGATTTCGTCCGTGGGGTTCGTGTTCAGTCTTGTCGGGTGGCCAGTTCACTGACATATACTATAGTGGGATTGCACTCGGAGGCATCGTAGAGCACCAACGAGCTAGTCGCGGGTGGCATAGCGATATCACGTTCGAGGCTGTCCCTGCGGATTACTCGTTGTTGAAAATGCATACACTGCCTCCTGGTACGTGCGTTTTCTGCCTTGCTGCATCATCCAGAACGTGACGCCGACTCGCCCAAATAGTTGGTGGCGATACCTTGGTACATCGGTCCCTCAACTCTCGTCTTTACGCGTGCTAAAGCTGGTGTGGCGCGTTTCAGTGGTCTAGGTACATTAGCTATCCAATCGATATCCCCCTCTCGCTTCTCTGACACGCCTGCATCAGCTGCTACGAGGCCTACGACCGATTATCACCATCATTTGCCAAGTTTCTCGAAGGTCTGACCGCGCTTCACAGTGCCACATTCTTCCTTGACGTACGCATCCGTTGACGCTGTGTAGTCCCAAGACTCGAACTAAAGCATGGTCACTTCTTGCTAGCAAGCTAAGCAACTTGGCGTCAAGATTCAAGACCCCCGAGGCTCCCCAGAAAATACGGGCTCGGAACTCATGTCTATCCAGTTCGTACCCTTAAGAATGTCGTTATAGTAATGTGCTGATTGGTCACAGCCCTGTTGTCCGGACTCATCCTGTAACGAATTACAAGGCCCTTTTTGTCAACGATTGGTACGTCCACATTATTCTGTAGGTTACGCGGCCGTCTAAGCATGTACAAAGCTTCACAACGCGCATCATGGAATTACACGGGGAGGAGTCGGAAGCCATCCTCGCATATCTCGCACGACATGTCGCCGAAAACCATGACTTCCAAGTGCGCTACCGCTGGGGCAAGAATGACGTTGCCATCTGGGATAATCGCGCTACGCTGCACTCCGCGACGTGAGTCCTCATGGTAAACTCTTTCAGCGCGTGTCTGATGAAGCTCGGCAGAAACGACTATGGGAACCAGCTGCGCGAAGGCTTGCGGGTGGTCAGCATCGGGGAGCGCCCATACTTTGATCCGACATCGCTGTCGCGTCGTGAAGCGCTCGGTTCGCACTGAGAGATGGATACTCGGGATATCCTCAATAGCGGATGGTGCGAGCGCTGCGGCCCGAACTTCGCTGTAGATATGTAATGTTATGTTGTCATGATCATGCGGTGCCCAATGCTGTGCGATCCCAATATATATTCACAAGTGCTGGGACATGCTGTAAGGTCGGCTCCGTCCTCACCTTGGGCAGACGGCGCTGACTCGACGATGCCACGGCATATACATCCGAGTGTAAGGCATGTCGTGTTCTTCGGCCGTCATCACAATCGCCATGAGCTTCAGGTGAGCGATTCGCCTCTCCTCAGTGCTCAGTGATTTCTAACAACTGATCGCAATGCAGTTACTGGCAAACTGCACTGGATAGCCGACTGCGCGTCGTTGACGGCATCCTACATAAAGATGATCTTGAGCCTGACCAGCGGCTCGTCCGTATGCAACTCGAGCTCGAAGCGCGAGCGATGCGTTCTATGATCAGTCAACTGAACCAGAAGCTTAATAAGCTCTGTCGTGCGAGCGATCTCCCTAGCGCGGCCTTGCAGCGCATCTTCCTGATCCTGTCCGCCTACGAGTCCGTGCCGAACGAAACCTGGCCAACCCGCACACGCGAACATTGCCATTGGACAAAAGTTCTCGATATCTGCAGGACCTGGCGAGAAGCGGCGTTGGCGTGTCCACATTTGTGGTCCTCCCATCCGCTAGGCTTGGGTTCTGCACGCTTCAATGCATTCATGGCTCGCAGCCGGGATTCCCCGATCAATCTTCGTCTCGGAGACGCGGGGGAACTCCCGGCTACTTTGCTGAGTGAAACGCTACAGGAGCCGGATGATTATATCCGGATAGCAACATTGGAGTCGACTGTTCGCCTGGGTGAGGACGCCTTGCAGGCCTTGACGGGTTGCGCACCTCTCCTTGAGACCTTGCGCATCGTCCCGGCAGGTATTCTACAAGAGCAAGAGTCGATGAACCTGCCTGATGGCCTTCTGGGAGGCCAGGCGCCTCGCCTACGACACTTGGCATTGCGCGGGTTCTCTACATTTTTCTCCCAGATAGCCATCGTGACCAACATCGTGTCCCTCAACATCAGCCGCGGCGTGGACCACGATTCGTACACCCGGCCTTCGTGGCCAATTTTACGGCTATTATTAGAAGCGTTGGTCAACATCGACGAGCTCATCTTACACGGATGCCTACCCGTGGCGTCGAAATCGGCCGGCAGCGTCAACGACGCTCTCGAACTTGATAACGCTCAAACGCCGGATCATGCGCCCAGCGATTTACTCCACCTTCGAAGCCTCGATGTCAGTGGGGAGCTTGAGGCTCTTGTTCGACTCTTTGAAAGCATCACGCTTCAGCCGACCTGCGTACTCCGCGTTCAGCTCCGTGACCCCCGCTCGAATGTGCACGGGATGACGGAGTCTCTCTCAACGTCCGGCTTTCGCCCTTCGCACGGAGAATATCAACCACGCTTTCGCTCGATGCGTATCATCACTCGCAAGAGTGAAAAGGCTCGCAAGATCCTGCACATCGGGCTATTCTCAGACAGAGAGGCAACTCTTGTCGAGCCATGTCCTTTCGTCGTCGAGGTCGATCACTATTCGAATGTCCAACCTCTTGATATCCTCGAAAAACCCTGCTTGCCAATCCAGGGTTTGCGCACGATCTACCTAGGGGCCGACATTGCCATGACTTCTCATCATTTTATCATGCCCATGAGGGTACCTTTGCTGGCAGGAGCAAGCCATAAAGTGTTCGCCTTCTCCGACTGTGCACAGGTCACGTCGATCTACACGGAAGGAGGTACTGGAAAGAGCTTGGTCAAGGCACTGGACAATGCCCTACTCTTTCCCGCGCTACAGTGCTTGCTCATCGCGCGCGGCCTTGACTTTGAAGGGGATTACAAGGAGGAGCTGATGATCACTTGGAAGGTGTTGCACCGAACCCTCACGGCTCGCAAAGAGGCGGGGCGGCCCATTGCCTCCGTGCTGCTGCCTTCCGAGATACTTGAGGAGTACTGGATCGAGCGTATGCGCGACACTGGCACTCACTTCAAGCCAATCGTAGACGCTAGCTCAGACTCTGGGTCGAAGGAGAGAGGCTTATACCCGTAAGTTGAAGCTAGGAAAAGTGTTGCATCAGCTGCTGACATGTCCCATCTAGTGGAGATCTTCTCACCATCACCGATGACCCATCTTCTCGAGAGTATTGATAGCACTGTATGCGGGAGTGTATTGCCACAGCGCCGGTACTAGTAGGCAGTGATCGAGACAAGTTATTAGGTCGCTTACAACACTTACCGTAATATTGTATTGCTTGACATGTTGCTTGACATCTGTCGTATGTTGTAAAGCTTGGCGACAGGTCAGATTCATGGTGGATGTGCTTTCCATTTGTGGTACACGACATGCGGGTCTGCGTCAACAAGCTTACCCGTCTGAGCCGCGTACACCGTCTGCCAGATGGCAGGTGATCGCGTCGAAAATGACGTCACGCATCCTCTGCGCGCGACGCAGCGCGACGCACGTTTTCAGCGTCTCGCACTTGAGTATGCCGTCAACGAGCGCTTGCCTCTGTTAACGTGCTTCCATCACCTCTCTATCTACTGCAAGGGAACTTTTGGGCGCAATGGAGCCCGCGGAGGCCCCGGCTGCTGTTGCTAGCGTCGCACAGACCGTGACTTCGACCGTCCACGCGATGGAGGGCGCAGACCGGCATCCCGTTGTGTCGTTTCTTTCCGCTTTCCTCTGGCTATTCGGTGAGCGATGAGCGGCGCCAACTGCTTTCAAGTGATTCTGATCCAGTCCACAGTCTACTTGCTTTCATGGATACAAGCACTAGCTGCCTTTGTCACGATCACCGTCCCGACGCTCATCTACTCGATCCTATCCTATTCTCTCACGTTGACGGCGAGTTAATACATCCTTGCGCGTTGAACGGTCTTCTCAACTACAACGCAGCTCAATTTTTGGTCATTCGCTTTCTTGTTCGTCGCGTTTGCTGTCGGACTGAACTACTGGATACGGTTCCGCTACTTGAATACCTACACTCAACTGAAAGAACCGCCGCTCAACAAGCCTGATGCACAAGAGCTGCATCCGGATGTCAACACGTCCTCTGCGCCACCAGTCTTTCACAACTATCTCGACGAGTTCCTTCAGGCCGTTCGCGTTTTTGGGTTCCTCGAGAAGCCGGTGCGTGTAGACCTCGCACGAATGCCTTGTCAACGCTGACACACAGTCAAGGTCTTTCACGAGCTCGCACGCCACCTGCAGACACGTCGTCTCATTGCCGGAGATAGCTTGTCACTCGACCAGGATAAATCATTCTACTGTGTGGTCGATGGCATGGTTCAGGTGTTCGCTCCTTCAACCAACCCTGGTGTCCCTCGTCCACGCGGTGGATCTTGGGATAACGAGTACATGAATGGATACGAACTGATGAACGAAGTGGGCGCAGGTTAGATACTTTTACTACTTCTCCATCTTTTCACTCAAACATCTGCAGGTGGCACTCTATCGTCCCTCTTCACTATCCTCAATCTCTTCACGGAGAACATTCGCATTGGTCCGACGCATGTAGATGAAGACGAGATGAGTGCGGATGCGGATGTGTCGCAGTTTGAGCTCGATGAAGGTCGTCGTTCCCCAAGTGTCGCTAGTTCTTCAGGTTCGACAGCACATGGGCATGAGCTTCATTCCCCGCCTACCTCTATCAACGGCGCGCGCCATCATCCTGCGCTGGCGTCCCGGTCCGCCCCGAGTGTACGGTCTTCACAATCAACATTTATACCGTCACAGAGACCCACCTTCCGAAGCCCGTCTAGCATCCAGACGCAGATTCATCATGGCACCGTCGCACGCGCGACAGTCGATACGACGCTGGCCGTTATCCCTGCTGAGGCCTTCCGCAGACTGACGCACAAGTTTCCAAAAGCAACAGCACATATTGTCCAAGTCATCATGACCAGATTCTCTCGCGTGACTTTTAATGCCGCGCACGGCTATCTCGGCTTAACGTCTGAGGTTCTACGGACGGAGAAGGCCGTCAACGACCTCGCATGCCATCCGCTCCCGGCATCCTTCTATGAGGGAGGCGGTATGCAACAATTGCGGCAACGCTTTGACGGCGCCTCACTGGCTGGTCAATCTCCGGAACCAGAAGATGACTACTTCGGCTCAGGCGCCAACTCGAGCACATCATCTCTATCATCTGCCAAGCGCCCAAGCCTGGACTCTCGCTCTACCGAACGCGCGCTGCACAGCAGTCCGCTTCAGATGTCTACTTCCACGTCGACTCTGCACGCTACTACGCCGTTACCTTCTCGCCTCGCAACCCACAGCCAGGTCCAGGCGGGCGATCTATTCAGCACAACGCCAGCAACTGAATCATATCGTCCGCGCCCAAATTACTCCAACATCGTGAACACCCCTCACATATCCCGTGGAAGCGCGCATCCCCATCGTTCAAAGTTGGTCGATCTTCCTGAACATGAGGAAGGCGAGGACGAATTTGATCTTCGGCAAGAAGTTATGAACGCTATCGCCGTCTCCATCGGGTTGCAACAGCCGGCGCCTCTGAGTGATGAATCGCCCGGCTCACTCGAAGCTTCTCCTGCGGTGACTGCACAGGATTGGCGACAGAGTCTGATGCGACATTCGGGCAGTAGCTTACCGCTGCCCAACTCCTTCGGATCCCTCAGTCTGTTGGAAATGGGGAATGATTCAAGTTCCAATAGTGTTACTGGTGCTAGCGCAACGAGCAGCACCAGCAAGGGTATCACGGGTCTGGATAACGAAGTCGAAATACTCTTCTTCCCTGCGGGTTCACACCTCGCTAGGGCAGGGGAGAAAGATACGGGTCCGTTCTCACGCATTCGTCATCATTCCTTGTATTGAAAAGATCTATCATAGGTCTCTTCTACGTGATCGAGGGCTTCCTTGATATCGTGTTGCCAGATGACAACGGAAGCAGCTCTCAAACGATGCATGATCGCTCAAAGCCGAAGCCGCCAAGCGTATCTGTCGATAACCTGTATACACCAGATGAGTTTGCCGCCGACTCTGAGTCCGACTTTTCTTCTGTCCCTGGCATCACTAAGCGACAGTCCACTGGACCTAACGGAGCCACTGGGAGCACGTTGTTTACTGTCAAGCCTGGTGGCATCGCCGGCTACTTGAGTACGACATCATTTTTGTTACTATGGTGATGACTGAGGATAAATGCAGCAAGTCTCTCGCACACAGCAAGCTACGTGGACATCGTTGCGAAGACGGATACATACGTCGGATGCTTGCCGCATGACGCGCTTGAGAGGTTGTTGGAGAAGCAGCCCATTGTGTTACTCACTCTTGCAAAACGCCTTATCTCGCTGCTGTCGCCTCTCGGTATGTGTACCCCAGTCGCCTGTACGAGTAAGGCTGACATCTGTACGCTTAGTGCTGCAAATTGATGCTTCTCTGGACTGGATGCAGGTCAACGCCGGACAAGTCCTTTGGCGCACAGGCGAGGAAGCCGATAGTTTCTACATCGTCATCAACGGACGTTTGCGAGCGATCACGGAGCGCGAAAGCGGAGGAGTGGATGTTGTAGCTGAGTACGGTCAAGGGGATACAACCGGCGAGATTGATGTGATCACGCGCTCACCTCGCCGCAATACTATGCATGCTATCCGAGATACCGAGCTTATACGAATGCCAAGGACCCTTTTCAATGCTATATCCGTCAGGTCAGCGCTATCCGACAGAATGCCATTCATTGTAGTTTCTGATTGGAATCCATCAGGAATCATCAGACGACAGCGCAGTATGTTTCGACCCTTATCAGGGATAGTACCTACTAAATATGCAAACAGAATCTTGAAGATGATTGCGTCGCGAGTGCGCACCGAAGCCGACGCAACAGCATCCAAATCTACCACGGCGACCGAATTACGAAGGAATAATACGAATTTGAAGACCGTGGCAGTCCTCCCCGTTACGAGAACAGTGCCGATCGACGCCTTTGCTAGAAAGCTTCACGTAGCTCTCGAAGGCATCGGGGCGTCGACGTCGTACTTGAATCAGGCAGCAGTTTCTACCAAGCTCGGACGCTACGCTTTCACGCGCATGGGCAAACTCAAGACTGCTGCGTGGCTTGCCGATCAAGAGCAGAGATTCAAGATCGTACTTTATGTTGCAGACAGCGCCGTCACCAGCACGTGGACCCAGACGTGTATTCGACAGGCCGATTTTGTTCTACTGGTAGGCATGGGCGATGATCCCAGTAGCGGCGAGTATGAGCGGCTTTTGCTTTCGTTGAAGACAACAGCTCGCAAGGAACTTGTACTGCTTCACCCGGAAAGAAACGTACTTCCGGGATCCACCCGGGAATGGCTCAAGGTACGATGGCTGACATACAATCTGGCGATACCCAATTTATCCTCGGTCAGACTCGCCCATGGGTTCATCAGCACATCCATGTCGAGCTTCCGGGCGTCAAGGTTCCCGTAAGACCCAAAGCCGATCCGTCACGCGAGAAGGATCCCGCCGCTGTGGCCGCTCTCAAGAACTTGAAAAACATCGTGGAAAGCGAGATTCAGAAGTATCGTGGGAACACCTCTGATGCTCGCCCGCGTCGACCTCCACATACGAGTGATTTCGCCCGACTTGCACGGCGCATATGTGGCAAGTCTATCGGCGTCGTTCTCGGCGGTGGAGGTGCACGGGGTATTGCACATCTTGTATGTTGCGATCATCTGGCTGTAAATGCTCGCCCTCACTATACATAGGGCCTGTTACGGGCGATGGAAGAGTACGGTATTCCGATCGATCAAATCGGTGGCACTTCCATCGGTTCTTTCGTTGGGGGTCTTTATGCGCGAGAGGGTTAGTCCTGGCTGAGTCGGCATTGATGCATGTCTAACGGCTGCACACAGGCGATATCCTCTCAAGTGCCGGTCGCGCAAAGCAGTTCTCAGGGCGAATGGGGAATATCTGGCGCATGCTGTCGGACGTTACCTACCCCATTGTTGCGTATACCACCGTTCGTATCCACTCCCCTGTGGTGGATGCGCCCTCATATTTGTCGTCGGTTAGGGTCATGAATTCAATCGATCAATCTACAAGGCGTTTTACGACCTGCACATTGAGGACATGTGGCTTCCGTATTTCTGCAACACAGCTAACATCACGACTTCGAGCATGGACATTCATGAGACAGGATACGCATGGCGTTACATCCGAGCGTCAATGACATTGGTTGGTCTGCTTCCGCCTTTGTGCGACAGAGGCAACATGCTAGTCGATGGCGGTTACAGTGAGCACACCTCACCTTGCTCCCGCATACTATCATTGAATGCTTGTGTAGTGGATAACCTGCCCGTCAAGGCCATGTTTGACATGGGTGCGAATACGGTGTTCGCCAATGATGTTGGTGCTGTATGTAATCGGGCATTTGTTACCAGTACCGGTCTAAGCTATGTGTAGATCGACGACAACTCACCACGCAACTTCGGCGACAGCGTGTCCGGCTGGTGGCTTTTCATCAACCGTTGGAACCCATTCTCTGATGCCCGTCACGTACCGGCCATCACAGAGATACAATCCCGACTGGCTTAGTGAGCAGTCTATTCCTCACTGTAGTGAGTCTGCACTTGCACTTCTGACCGATCTTGCATAGCGTGTCGAGCGTCCGCACACTGGAGCAGGTCAAGGCCATGAAAGGATGCTACTACATGGCGATGCCCGTGCAGGACTACGGAACTTTACAGTTCGGGAAGTTCGAGGAGATACAAGAGCTAGGGTATACTGAGGCACTCAAGCTGTTGGAGAAGTGGGATGACGAAGGGGTGTTGCCTTCTGCTTTCATCGACGGTAAGGAGCCGCCGGCGAAGAGGAAACGCAAGGGCTTGAGCGCACGTCGCAATTCCATTTAACATACATTCGCTGTCGCTCATGTGTAATCATGGCGCTATATATTGACATAATCCCTGTATCTACACTAGTCCCAAGATATTCGTACTAGTCATATACCACCGTTCAGATGAGCATAAGTGTGCTGCGTCGATATGCTTCTCGCTAAAGCCCCTAACACGTGGGCGGCGCGCTCCGCGGCCACCGCCGCCTATCATTGTGCAGGTTTGCTTCCACCAACATGGCGGCTGCAGTGGCTGGTAACTCCGGCGAGCGGTCACGTATACAAAGACAGGGTGCTGGGAAATTACTCGATGTGTCGTCTTTAAAAGATATCGCACGCGACTCGCTTGTGCTTGCTCTGAACTCGGTGCGCCGTTCAAGACGCGCGAGCCACGCACATCACCTATAAACTCGATGAACACTAGGTCATTGGTGCTAAGACGCTCGTACTGGACCCCTCGCTGGCCGGCCCACTCAGCTTAGTCGCGGAGATCTCGTTGCTACAAGTGCGTTATACACCACCATGCGATTGCGCGTATACTGATCCGGTGAACGCAGCAACATGGAGTGGACAAGATGTTCTGGCTAGAGACCGGCTCCTTGACGGCCAGCACGACTAATATCGTGTACTTGTGCCGTCCGCAGATCAGATGGGTCAAGATCATAGCTGGTACATCAATTATACCCTCCGTCCCAATGTCCAGTACTCATGCGGCCCGGCCAGACCAGATCAAGCGACATGCCCGAGAGAACAGGAAACATACGTACACCCTCCTTCTGGTACCCCGCGTGTCGACTGTCGTGAGTCGTGTGCTCGAAGACGAGGGCGTACTCGGAGACGTAACGCTTGCCTCCTACAATCTACAATTCATTCCCATTGCGGACGATGTCATTTCCCTCGAGCACGACGGAGCGTTCAAAGAGATCTGGGTTGTGAGTTGTACGTTTTTTGTAGAGAGCATCGCTCATCTATGCACAGGATGGCGACGAAACGTCGGTATACAACTCAGCCCAGGCTTTGCATACCATACAGCGCCTCTACGGATTGTTCCCGCGTGTCCTGGGGAAGGGCGATGTCGCCGGGGTAAGCGTCGCATGTCTACCCACACGCTTGATGCTGATTGGTGACGGAGATAGCGTCTAGTTGATCTTCTCCCTCAAGCCCGTAGCCAAGCAGCGAAGGATGGCTCAGATGACCAACTGGTACTGTCCGACCAATTGGATTGTCTCATCGTCCTCGACCGAAGAGTCGACATGGTTACCCCGCTACTCACTCAGTTGACGTACGAGGGTCTTATCGACGAGGTCATTGGCGTCAAGAACTGTGCGCCCATTGGTTCAAATGAAGCGCAGAGATCCTGAAGCATTGATTCATTTGCAGCCCACATTGAGGTGCCTGCCTCTTTGGTTAGCGCGCCTACGAACCCCTCTGCCCCGCCAACTGCGGCGGCTACCCCTCCGTCGGCGCCCGCACTTGCGAAGGAGAAGAAGCGTAAACATCGACTGACGACAGACAATGACCCTATTTTTTCGGAGCTACGGGATCTTAACTTTTCCAATGTGGGAAGGCGACTGAACAGAGTTGCTCGAAGATTGGGTGAAGAATACCAGGTTCTTACTGCCTTCAGCCCCAAATATCCCGGCTTCTTGACTAACTGTCTATGTTAGGCTCGTCACAAGGCCCAGACGCCTGCTCAGTTGCGCGATTTTGTCGGGAAGCTGGGTGGACTCGAGGCAGAGAAGCAAGCAGTACACCTGCGTAAGTACCCGCTGGGACACTATTTCGCAAAGGTACTGAATTTAGCACCTAGATACCGGACTGTCCGAGTTGCTACTGCCGTTTACACGCTCGGAGGTATTCAAGAAGTCGCTTGAAATTCAACAGAGTAAGCCTTCTATCTCGTGGGAGTATCAACTACATTGAAAGTCGCGCTAGATCTTCTAGATTCGTACGACATAGCCGGCCAAATCACAGCTATAGAAGACCTCCTTGCACAGGGTGTGGACATGCAACTCGTGGTCAGGCTACTCTGCTTAGCCAGCCTCACCGCGGGTGGTATCAAGAGCAAGGCGCTAGAAAATATCAAGCGTGAACTTCTCCAGGTAGGTCCGAGGGCGCGCACGTGGGTCTTATGTTCGGTCTAACACTTTAACTAGACATACGGCTACAGCCTTCTTCCTGCGCTTCTGTCCCTGGCTGCGCCGCCCCTCGGAGCCCTACTGCCCAATCCTCTGCCTCCGACAGCCCCGGTTGAACTTGCCAGCCTGAGGTATCCCTATGCTTCCTTGCGCAAATCGTTGCGACTCGTCATCGATGGCGACGAATCGCTTGAAGAACTCGAGAACGACGTCAGCTACGTGTACTCTGGTTACGCGCCAATCAGTGTCCGGCTTGTTCAATGTGTCGCTCAAAAGGGTGGCGTGCTAAGCAACCCTGCGGCGGGAAAAGACAAGGCGGCATCAAGCGCAGATCAGGACGACAATGGGCGCGCTTCTGCTGTCAAGATGCAAGCGCATCCAATCGTCGGCTTCAAGGGATTTGAGGATGTTGTCTCCAGCATACCGGGTAGGACAATCGATGTCTCGCAAAAGGGAGTTGGCAGTACCGAAGCCGGTGCCTCGTCCGCACTGTGTGAGTGCTCTAGAACTATCGCGATGGACTCGTGCGGGACACTAATAGCTTCTCACCCATCAGTGCCTCAACGCGAGCAGTCAACCACAACCGTCGTCTTCTTCCTCGGCGGCTGCACGTATACCGAGATCGCTGCCTTACGTTGGGCCGGGCGTCAGAATGAAGGTGAGTGCACTCATACCAGCTGCGCGGCGATTCTGACTGTGTTTTGGCTGCGCAGGTCGCAAGTTCCTTATCGCGACCACGGGAATTGTCAGTGGAGCGAGTATTGTAGAAGGTATAGCTGGCGTTGGGCGCGGCGCGGCGGCCAGCTCGAGAGATGCGGGCTTGAGTTGATGATGGAGACACACGCCGCCCTTCGTCCGCCGTCAGGAGGTCAACACGCCTTGTGCTACATATGTTGCGTTCTCGCCGCCCTCGGCCCTCCGCATCGTCGTGTCACGTCGCGTCATCAAATGAAGCATACCCTTTGTCCGGTATGCATGACTAGTGATAGAATCGGTGCCATCTGTCGCCTCTATTTAATGTCGTGCCCTGACGCGCCGGTAAGTTAGCCCGAGATGCCAGGGCGGCAAGGCCGCCGTCGTTTACGACGGTCTCGCCAGGCAATGAAGACCTCCTAATTTATCTCTGGCTTCTTCCCATGAGACCATGACTGATCGGTAAGGAGGTAGTTTGTTCCCGCTTACCATCTGCGATCCACCTTCGAAGCAACTGTGGCCCTGCACGTGATGATCAACAAAGTTCATCCCTCTCGGTATCCATCTGGATTACACAGTTGTACTTGTTGCTTTCACGGTAAGGCTGAAGAGTGTCACCTATGTCTTGGTACCCCAAGACCGAACCCTTGCGCCGCCTGGAGTTTGGAGATGATCGAGGGCACCAATAATTCGGCTCGTTGTGGGCGCGGCAATCGCCGTATTGACGCAAGGCTAACTTATATAGCCTTACGATTCGAACAGAGAGCACGCGTTCTTGCTTTTTGCCCCCATCTCATCCGCGCTTTGACATTCGTCCTTGCTCCCGCCGCGTTCTCTCGCCTCTCCCGTGAGTATGTTTATGTCTGTCAAGCGAACTCGGCTAACCCATTTCCCCGAATCTCCTCGCCCCTGCGACATCTTTGGTGCACCTCTCCCGCGCGCTGTCACCTCTCAACTTGTTTCCTCAACTATTCAACCCGTGATGACGCACAGTACACCGGCGACACGATGGCCCCCAAGAAGGCTACGACTGAGGGTGCGGAGAAGTCTGCAAGGAAGAGTGCGTGGACGCGTTCGATACTGCTAATACGTGTGCTGAACGAAAGCAGCCAAGTCTCCGGGCGGACCCAAAAAGAAACTCTCGCCCTTCAACAAGTACATGAAGAAGGAACTGGCTCGCCTGAAGGAGGACAAGCCGGACCTGACACACAAGGAGAGGTATGTGTTCATGTGTTGAACGCGTCATCATCATGCGCCCAGATAAATTGGACTCATCGTACTCGCAGGTTCACGCTCGCGACTCAGAACTGGAAGACCGCCAAGGAGGAAAAATGAGCGCCGATCCGCGCTGCCTCGAGCTCGCTATCATTGCTAGGCCCCTCGTCGCGTGACAGCCGACGGGCATCGTCTCTCCCTTTTCGGCCCAGTGTCTGCGCTGTCATCATATGCTTACGTTCCGCCTCCGTGGGCGCTATTTCTTGTACCGGGCGACATTATACCCCGCGACACCGGACGATTCCTCCCCACCTACCTCTCCCATACCCTCTGCCTCTATACTCTGGCCGGCGCTCGTGCATGCGTCGGGTGTACTCGTGTTGCTGCTACCACTAGTTGTCTGTTGCCTACTCCGCGTCAAATCCTCTCCTTCGCCGCCTCGCTTTGTCCCTCGCTTTCGCATACTGCCCTGTGTCATCCTCGTATAATGCCATTGCTTTTCCCAAGGCCTTGTGCTACCGAATGTGATATCCGACCTCGCCGTAATCTGCCCCGCTTACGCTGAAGCAACGGATCCCGGCGCTAGAAGCACGCCCGCAGGTAGTCCGCAGGCACAAGTCTTCTGTCAAGAATATTCCGCGAGCGACGTGATCGTTGGCGACGTTCCGTCTCATCGGACGGGGCCTGCGACTTCCTCGCTTTGGATTGGACTGGCGCACTGTGGTAGGCGTACACATTACAACATACACAAACAAGATAGCAATGCGGTTACATAGTGCTCGCAATATATGTTGTGATTGGTTAGCCAAGGACTTGATCGTCCCAAAACAGGTTTGTAGCGAAGTTTAAATTGATGGTGGCTTTGTTTAATTGGTGCCTGTTCTGTAAGCGGGAGTTTTGATTGAGCAGTGTTACACGAGGCGTTCGGGCCGGGCCCCTATTCCGTGCCAGAGAACAAACGATGCTCTGCTCGGCCATGAGCGCTCGAGCAGTACATTTGATATCGTAGAAGTATCAATGCCACTGTACCCGTATGGCATCACGGTAACGTCCCCATTAGGATGTCTCTCGTAGCACGCCGCCGGGGCCCGGCGGAGGTAAATCTGGAGTGGGGATCGCCGTGAGCGCGTGAACGTCAAGGGTGCCGGTCAGCCGACGCTAATAGTGACTAGTGACGCTGGCCCACTCGTCGTAGACCGACGACCAAGACCCGGGAGCACAGAGAGGTGCCCGCTCTACGGTCTACTTTCAACGCTCATGCACCTGCTACTCGTCCTTGTACTGTCTACTTGAGATCTGTATATCTATCGCTCGGGTGATCGCACCGAACCCCGTTGCATCTTATCGTCCCGTTAGCACGCCTGCTACGCCTGCTCCGTGCGACTGCAGGCCATGAGCCATCTTTCCCGCATCGATCGAGTTTCGCCCGCCGGGCAGCGAGACGACGATATAGTCTCTGTCGACCTTCGTTCTTCGCCGTCCCTGCCATTCCCTTCGGCCAACACTTTGCTCTCCCAGAGACGGTCTGTCCCAGCGTTTCAGGACGAAATGGACCCTCTTCCTTCCGAGCACCAGGCAGCTCTCTGGTTTGAACGTCAGAACTCCTCAAATGCGGATGCCGAGTTCGACGCGATGTGGACGTACCCGATCGCACACGACGGTAAAGGCAAGCGTGCTGCTCAGCCCGTGAACATCTTCCGGCGTCGGGAGGACGAAACGTTCGATGTCTATGGGTCGGGGCCGTCCTCACCACTTGCTGGGTCATCCTCCCCTTTCAGTTCGCGTAGCTATCACCCCTCTCTCGCAGAGACTGAGATCTCCGCCTTCGATGATCGGGCGCGTATTTACCGGGAGCTCATGCAAGAGATCACCGCCCTCGACAAGGGCAAAGGCATAGACATCGCACCCACCCTCCCACCCCTCAGTTTCACGTCCCCACGACTGGATGCAGAGACCATCTTTCCTGCTTCGCCCATAACGCCGGGGCCGTCATCATTTGGATCATCAGTCTTCGAGCCCCAGACGCCGCCTGGCACAGGCCACGAGGAGCCCCTCTCGGCTCCTCGCGTCTCCGAGCAGACAGTGCGCCCCGAGGAAGCACAGTCTCACCCTGTGCTCTCCCGTATGCCTTCCAGGCGTCGCTCCTTATCGAATATGTCAGTGCACTCCGCACGTTCCGTCGCTCCCAAGATGCGGGGCAAGCTCGGCAATGCGAGCCCCGCGCGTCTCGCACGAAAGTTGTTCAAGACTGAGAGCAAGTTCTGGTCCGCGCCTACGACGCCTGCTGCAACTGCTTCACCGCCGGCATTCGACTTCGACGTGGCGGCCACAGGGTGCTTCTCGTCGCTGCGATGCGATGTGAAGCTACGGCCTGCCGCCTCCGCGCCGTTCCCTGAGCTTAACCAGCTCCTGTATGACGGTACCAATGGAACACCGTCATTGCCTGTGTACCAGGGAAAACCAGTCGGATCATCACCTGCAGCATATAAACGCGCGGGCCGGTCCTACTCAGAGCCATTTCCGGTCGTATTTGGAGTAGTGCCAGAGCAGGCGGCGACAGATGTCTTCACGCCCCTGCCGATTGCCCTCCCGCGAAATTCATTTGACGAGGTCCTTCCTCGCGAACTTCGGCTCCATGTCTTCGGGTTTGTGGTAGAGTTGCATGCGGAGGACCATGCCAAACGTCTATGCGAAGGACAGTGGACGGCTATGAAGGCTGCGCGGCACCGATGGGTTGGTCGCGACGAGGGAGTACGGGAGCTCATCCGGCTGAGCAGGGTACGCTACATTAACGCGAATACGATATCCGGACTAATCAAACGCGTTTGCAGGTGTCTAAAACCTGGCTTGAGCTGATCTTCGATGGGCAGCTTTGGAGCGAACTCGATCTGCATTCTTTCCCGAAGATGCCGGCCGTTCAGGTACTGCATGTAGGCAAGTTTGCGGGGCCATTCGTGAGACACCTCGATGTTCGCGGACACGCGAACCTCCAACCGTCTACGCTCGAGAATCTCACGAACTTCCTCACCATGCGCCCTCCGGAAGGTAGCATCCAGACAGCGACGACGCGTTTAACGACGCTCAATCTCGCAGGGTGCAAATCCGTGACTTCGGCGGCCTTACACTATCTTCTCGAGCGGACGCCGGGGCTTATCTCAGCGAATCTCAAAGGACTCAATGCGGTTACGAATGAAACCTGCGAGATTCTCTCGGCGACATGCACAGCCCTTGAGGTCCTGGACATGTCACGCTGCAAGTCCTTGAGCGGCGCGGGAGTGCGTACAATCGCTTCGGACGCTCTACGTGCGGGTCGGGTGTTGAGAGTCCGTGAGCTGCGGGTCGCTGGCCTAAAGGGCGTTACCGACGGAGTTTTGAGAGATCTGGGACTTGCGGCGCCCGCTCTCGAGCTTCTCGACCTGAGTTATTGTCGCGATCTGCACAACTCATCCGTCGAGGCCTTCGTGGAGGTTGACGAAGGCGTTCCTGTGAACACGCCCGGTATCATTGTGCTTTCGGCTCACCAGGCCGGGCGGGATCCTAACGAAGGCAGGCGCTACCGTCGTCGTGTGACACGCCTCCGCCATCTCTCACTCTCCAATTGTGTTCTATTGACTGATTATGCGTGTGCCCACCTCTCGCACGCCCTTCCTGGCCTGGAGCTGCTTGAGCTCGGTGGTATTGGGGCCGAGCTCAAAGATGATGGGCTCATATTATTGCTCGAGACGACACCGATGTTGCGCAAACTTGACCTAGAGGACGCCCTGGACATCACCGATGCCGTTTTGGAAACTCTCACCCCCCAATCCGCCGACTTGGGAAACCTCGCGAGTACTCAGACGCGCGTCGTCGGGGGAGCTCTTGAGCATCTCATCATATCGTGTGCCGTTCAGCTCACAAATGAGGGCATACTTGACCTCATCCGTGGCTGCCCCAAGCTGCGAGTCTTGGAGGCAGACAGCACACGCCTCTCAAGTACAACAGCGCGCGATTTTGTCAACCTCTCTCGCGAGAGGAGCGTACACGACGCCATGCTTGTTGCGGTCGACTGTCGCGCGGTCGGCGAGTCGCTTGCCAAGGAACTTGCCAACGTTACGCGCCCACGTTTAGGTTGGCGCGCGCATGCAGCGCGCAGGTTGGCCTACGTCGATGGCGCTGATAATGAGCAGCTCCCGTCCGGTTTGGGCCAGGACGAGTGCGATCCAACTCGTGTCATCCTTAAGACCTTCTATGGTTGGCAGACTGTTGACGCCGTCACCACCGCGCGCCAGAAGCGCAGACGTGCTGCTCGCGAGGCCGGTGCAAGCGATGCAGGCAGTAGAGCGCGTTGGTGGGCCCCCGGTGGCCGACGCACGCCGAGCGGCACAAACTCTCCGACGCTACTTGATGTTGGAAGTGAGCGTGACGGCTGTCTCATCATGTAAGAACATTTGTCTCCATCTGTATAACGTATGTCCGAATTCCTGCTGCTTGTACTATCACCTCCACCGTCTTCGTATGTACATACATCTGTATTGTCCCGTTGTGCACGTCACCGCCCTCTATCTAGATCTCCGCTCATGACCTCTACACGATCTTACTTGTACTATATCGACCGTCACGCCGTGCTCTCGTCCCTCGCTCCCGTCTAGTCATCAGTGTCCTCACCTTCGCCCGATTCTCAACTTCACCTTGTACAGAACATACTTAATGAAGATGTAACATATGATATCCTTGGCTGCTTTGACCCTTGATTTGTGTGGGACCGATTACCGTACGCCGTGTGCGACGTCGCTGTGCCTTATTCCCCCTTTGTCCTCTGTTGTTCGATCTTCTTGCATGGCGTGGGAACACAGCCCTCGCGCCAAGACCGTGAGCGAGTCAACATATATGCGCCACCGAGCCGGTCTATAAGAGAACGAGTGTGACCCGAGCCGCAAGTGACACACTCCGAACCCGCTACACCCAAGGTCTATGTCGGCATCGTACGTATTCTCACTTAAAAGTGGGGTTCCCTGCATGCCGCTCATCGTGCTAGCGTCAGATCCTCCTCCGACTCGGCACCTGCGTTGTCTGAGACTTTGCGATTTATCACGAATGTCAAGTTGAAGGAGCTCGAGAAGCAGAGTAAAGCTTATGCTCTCCACTCTCAAGTCATCGCGCAGGCCCCGACCACCCCACACCTCGTGTCCCGAGCCCAGATGTTGTTCGATGCGCTTCAGGCGCATCCTGCTTTACGGCTCGGGCAGGGGGAGACCATAGGAGGACATCTTGACCCAGATAATCTTCGAGTCTGGTTAGAACAGGCGCACATTGACGGTGGCGTCAGCGACGATATCGTGCGCGGCTGGATTCAGGTGCTTGAGGGTCACATCAACACGACCGGCCAGCGTCTTGAGACCGCCAAACTCTTCGGCAATCTGTTAAACGAATGGCTGATAGATGACGCCACTCACGCCACGAGCGCAGGCGCCGAAGAGCATAGCACTGAACCTGTAGAAGTCGGTAGGAGGGAGATGTTTGAGCAGCGTGACAAATTGGAGGCCCTCATCTTCGAAGCGCCCGCTATCGACGTGCCTGCGCTCGAGTCGTATCTCATGAGCCTCTTCAGCGAGCCCGATAGCACGCCTGTGCTCAAGATCTTGCGCGACATGGTAAAAGAGAGGACCGAAAACTTGTTGAAGGAGGAGGTCAAGGGTGACGACATCAAATCGGTTATCCAGTCCATCCTATCCGACGCCAATCTATCCGACGCGAAACGGGCATCGATGCGCGGCTTCTTGGAGAGCCAGATCATTCTCGACGAGATTGCCAGTGTGCTCTCCGTGAGAAAAACCTCTCTTTCGTCTTGGGCTTGGGCGGAGGGTGGTATTCTCTTAGAGATGCGCCGTGCTCTGAACGGAAAGTACAGGGCAGCTACGGACCCGGTAAGCTTTACTGACGCATTCAAGAGAAGTCTCGCTCACAGATGATAGGATATCATGGATATGATCCTTTTGCAGTACGTCGGTCTCAAGCTACAGCCAATCTTCAAGACTGCTTTCCGCACGCTGTACGATAACAAGGCTGTGTGGAAGCAGAGCGAGCCTCGCTTTACGAAGGAGCAGAATACGCGCTGGAGGGCCATGATCGGCTCGTCTCGCGATTCTATTACCAGATCCCGCACAACTCTGCAGCGAGAGCAGTTCATCTCCGGGCAATTAATCGACCACGTGCAACAATCCAATAAGGAAATGGCCGGGTATCGCGAGGGAGGAGATGATGCTGGGACGGATTTAACCACCGACGTGGAAGCCCCAGCTGCGACCGTGCCGCAGGCGTTGCTGCATCTTGTCTCTACAGAGTGTCAGCTCGCGAAACTCGTGAACGGACAGTTCACGGTCCTCACAACTGATCTACGCTGGTTCGGGCCTTCTCTCGCGCACGAGACCATCCTTACAGTGATGAGGTTCTTGGGTCTTCCAGATCCATGGCTGGGCTTTCTTCAAACCTTTCTTCGAATGCCTCTTCGCTTCGGCCCAGACGCTCCGATACGCGTTCGCGAGCGTGGCACGCCCTTCAGTTACGCACTAGCTTCCCTTGTCGGCGAATCCGTACTATTCATGATGGACTTCGCGGTCAATCAGCGCACGAGTCTCTTCCTTTGGCGTAACCACGACGATGTCTGGCTGTATGACGCAGATGCCGAACGTGTCACTGCGGCGTGGGCCGAGATGCAACACTACGCTGACCTGGCTGGTCTGTCCTTCAATGAGGAGAAGACGGGAGCGGTCTCCGTTGGTAGCAGGGTTCACGAGCGACTCCCAAGTGGCGACGTGCGCTGGGGTTTCCTCAAGTTCAGTCCGGAGAGCGCGCGCTTTGAGATCGATCAGAGCGAGGTGGACAAGCACATCGAGGAACTTCACCGCCAAATCCGTGCCGCGCGCACCGTGTTCTCTACGGTGAACGTTTGGAACAAGTATCTCGCATTCATCATGCGTAATTGTGGTGATAGGCCTGCGCGCTGCCTAGGCTACGACCACGCAAGGGAGATGGCCGACACGATCGCACGCGTACAGAAGTCAGCTGTGCCTGGTGGCGGTGACATTGTATCGCACTTGCGCGCTCTCATCGGCCAGCGCTTCGGGGCCAGCGACCTGCCCGAGGGTTGGTTTTATCTCCCGATGAAGGTCGGTGGGCTGAACCTCAGGGGGCCTCTTCCTGAATTATTCGCTGTCATGGATGCTTTTCGTCGCGAAGAAGACAAGACTGGCTTCGAATGCTGTCTCGAGGAAGAGCGTCAGCACTACCGGGCCTGCCAGGAGCACTGGGAGGATAGCCTAGACGACCGACTGGAACTTGCGACGCAGAACGAGTTTATCAGTTACGAGGAGTACATACAAGGTCGCGAGACGCGCCTTTCTGCGTGGGCGAGCCGATACGATCTCTTGAAGGTGGTCCCGCTGCCATCTCCTGTCCATGAGACCCCGAGCGTCGAGGCCCTGCTTTCGCACTCTAGCGGAAATTGGGATACCATGCCGTTCTTTGATAAGTGGGTGGTGGCGATGTACGGCGAAGGCGTGGCGCAAAGATTCGGTAGCATCGAGCCAGTCGATTCGACGCTCATTCCGCTTGGAATGGTCAACGTACTCATACAGTCGAGGATGAAGTGGGATCAGTAGATGTTTGATTGCCGTTTGTATCATATAAGAGCACTCATCACGAATATGACGATCAGATTCGCTAACGACGAGAGTATAATGACAGCGTGGGCATAGGGGAAACGAGTCATCATGTCCGAGGAAGCTTCTTCTTTCTCTTCTTGGGTACGGGGGATTCCTCTGTAACAGGCGGGCTTGACAGCGCTGAGTCGATGCCACGTTTCTTCTCCTTTCTTGATAGCTCGCGTTCTGAAGTGTCCGGTACTGGTTCCGATGCCGAAGGACTATGGACTGGCGTGCATTCTGTAAGTTTCGCAATGAAGTTGCTGATGGCGACGAACCATCGAAGAAGTCCGCGGCTGTCCTGCGCTTTTTGTCAAAGATGTTGCCATCAACGCCTCCTGCCTTTGCCTTGCCCTTCCTAGGCGGAGTAGGCACTTCAACGCTCGAGCTTTCACCTTCACCCTCTTCGTCGAACACTTCTAGGGCGTCGAGATCTTCCTCTCCATCCTCCTCCTCATTCATGTGTTCACGAACCTCTTTCTCCCACTTCGTACGCTCAAGCATCTTCGCGGTGATCTTAGGTTGCACGGCGATTGACACTGAGGACGGACCAGGCGAAGGTTCGGTATCTGCTTGGTTGCCATACGCTGACTGCGTGAGGCCGTGCTTGATAAAGCGAGCTGCTGCCTCTTTGTCAATCGCAGTGGGTCCTATGCGCAAGTTGGAGTGACATCAAAAGACGAGTGAGATCCTCTGACGTACGCTGAGGTGGGTTCTCCAACTGCTTGATCTTGCCAAAATATTCTTTGACTCGGTCCTGGGCGCAAGCGTTGATTAGAGATGTCATCTTCGGTAGTATGAGGATTGCAGACAAGTTCAGCGATGACGGGATGCGTTTTGGGGTCCACACCACGCGTCTTTAAGTAAACTAGACAGTGTCAAACACAGTGATCGTCTGAGCAAAGAGGGGACGGACTGAACGATAGATCATATGTAAGATACGGGAGCAAGACATAGATTTTGGCCTGCTGTATTGGGTCCAGATTCATTGTGGTCTCAGGGATGCCCTGTGCGAGTAATGGCGCGAGCTCCTTCTCGAGCTCGTCCAGTGTCGAAGTAAGCGTAACAAGCTTTTTCCGGAGCTTTGCAGAGTCTTCCGCCATGTTTCAGACCGTGTGATGAGTATCGAGGAGCACGTAGTAGGATCTGGCAGATGAACGGCTGAAACAATGAAGGTCGGAGGCAAGCCGCAAAATGCGCACGTCGCTAGCGCGTCGCAGTCGTGTGACCGCGACCAGCCGCGACCTCAACTGACCTCGAGCTACCGCGCTATTTGCATAATCTGAGGTTGACTCGGGTAACTCTTGGACGTCTTGGACCGCTACTAGTACCTCGCCGATGTCACGCAAAGGCCACAGGCTGCACGCGGAAAAGCTGGACCTCTCTTCGCCACATGCCTGCTACAGATGATACCCAATCATGAACTAGGACTCTAGTTTCTCATACTACTCGAATCCTTGAACAATAGCAATCGCGCACCTTGGAGTCGTGCGCGCTTCCCTGAAACTGGCGTTGAACCCGCCTGTAATGCATGCGGGAAGCCTTCAGATGGAGATGCCCGCAAAATAACTAATGATCTATGACACGGGGTTATCAACTTTCAACTCCCAAATGTAGAGCGACCGCTTCTCCGCGGGGAAATCCCCGCGTGCCTTAACTGGTACGACCTCAGGGAAGAACCCCCAATGCTTGAAGCCCAACTTGGTGAAGACTCTGGCGCTAGCAGGGTTCCCTGCGAAGTTACCCGGGCGGAAGTGCCGTGCGTTCATACGCGGGATGGCCCACTGCGTGATAATGGCCTTCGCCACAGCGCTCATGATTCCCTGACTGTGGAAGTCTGAATGCAACCAGTCTGAGGCGAAGATAACTCATCAGAAGAGCTGGTCGTGGACGTGCGAACTTCAGCTTACCACCAATGGTCCAGATTATAGTGGAATCACCGACAGGCAGGGCTGCGTTGGCATCGGCAAGCTCTTTACGCTTGTCCTCGTCGACCTCCCACTCGTAGCCCGTCCGTCCTAGATGAAGGTCTCCGATGAGCTTCTGCTCTTCGGTCCGGGAGTCGCGGATGCACCGAACAGGGCAGAACCCGAACGTCGCAAGAGTCGCGTTTTCGCCTTGCGCCGCGGCTGTTTCGAGTTCCTCGCGATGTTCTCCCCAGATCTCTACAACCTTCTCAGTCCACTTCCTGCCGTGCTCCAACGTGAAAGGCCATGGAGGACTACGGAGGCCATTGTAGACTTTGGGATCGTTGAAGGGTCCGACCATGTCTTCAGCGTCAGAGAGACGCGATGGGGTGAGGATGATGTGCGAGTGCGGTGCGGGCAGGCGGAGGAAGGGTTCGTTCCGAGTCGCATCCCATTCAAGTGGCTGAATCTGACGCAGAAGTGCAGCAGACATAATGGAACCAAGGTTAGCAGAGTGAAGACACGGTCGCAGGTTATAAGCAGAGCTTGTGAATCGAGTCAGACTTAACATGAGTCAAGATGCATTGGCTGGGGTAGATATGGCGGTAAAAGACGATTTGCTGATGTTCCCATCGAGCACATGTTGAGCACATGCCAATGCCAGACGAAAGAACGTGCACTGATAGGGTGCAAGCTCCCTCTGGACAACCAACATCGCCGGTGCGAGCGCCGCAAGCCCATCGCCAAGTCATGCGTAGCAATTCGCGTCCAGACTCCAGAGCTATCTCAGGAAGCTTTGTATCTTGATGCGGTATGGCTGGTGAAAGGGCTCTTGATCTTCTATGAATGCAGGATAGCATAGGCTCGAAACACGATGCGCAGATAGATGCACACACTGATAGGCCATCAAATTGAATACAGCAAGATACAGAGCGCACAAAGTAGGGTGTCTTGTACAATTTCAAGGTGTTACGCGTAATCCATTGGCCAGATGAAGTAAAGAGCGTCTTATACCTCGATGTTACCATCGTCGTCAATCTTCAACTCCCAAACATTGATGGACCGCTTCTCGGCCGGAAAGTCCCCGCGCGCTTTCACTTGCGCGATGTGTGGCACATACTTGTAGTGCTTGAAGCCCATCTTCGTGAACACTTTCGCGCTGCCGATGTTGGCCTCAAATGTGGATGGCATGATGCGCCTGGCGTTCATGCGTGGGATGGCCCATAGCGTGATGATGCCTTTCGCGACGGCGCTCATGATACCTTGACGATGATAGTCCGCGTGAACCCAGTCTACCATCAATTCCTGTGGTCAGAGTCTGATGCGCTTGATCCGAGAAGGACCTCATACCGCCGACAGTCCACACAATAGCAGGATCTCCCGCATCCAGCGTATTATTAGCCTCAATGAGCTTCTGACGCTCCGGCTCATTGTCAGCCTCCCATTCGAAAGTTGTCCTCGTGAGACCAAGATCGCCAATGTACTTCTGTTCCTCGGTGCTCGCATCCCTTATAGATCTCACCGGGCAAAATCCGAACGTAGCGAGGGGCGCGCCGGCGCTGGCATTCACTGCTGCTGCCTCAAGCTGCCTCAGATGCTCGTCCCATTCGCCCATGAGTTTAGTGCTCCACGACGTAGCAGCATCTATAGTCATAGGCCACGGTGGGTTTTGAAAGCCGTTGAAGACTCTGGGGTCGTTAAGAGGCTCGATTGAAGCCTCGGCGTCAGACCAGCGCGGTGGAGTGACGATGATATGCGAGAGCGGCGCAGGGAGGCGTAGGAATGGTTCCTTACGCTTTGCGTCCCATTCGAGAGGTTGAATCTGCTGTATGAGGGCGGCAGACATGATGATCGGGAGGAGAACCCGCGCATCGTACTTTGATCGGCTTATAGGAGGGACGGGCTCGAGAATCCGAGTCAGGTCACGGAGTCAGCACTAAGTACTAACGGTTGATTTCCGCCTTGTGCATATGGAAGCGTACTATGTATGCGAAGGTTAGACGTCCACCGGCCGCCTTCGGGTGTGGGCAGCGCAGGCCGATGCTGGAATCCGGCAGGATCAAACGCGGCGGAGAATCCGCCCAAGCGGGACCGCTATCGATGCTTGATGAGTCGTAGACAAGTCGCATCCGCATCCCTTGTCTTAAATAGTACTGGTTGAGAGGCGGGTCCGGTACCGCTGTGCTATGAGTGCAGATAAACAGTATATGATTCGGTTTGACGCCGCCATCGGTGTCGAGAGCGTCGAGGGAATTGGCGCGGATGCGAGTGGATCTGGACACGTGCGGATCGTGAGACGATATAGAAAGACGAAATTTGGATCGCGCTACTCACTCTTGTCGACGGCCATCTCCTCCTCTCCTCGGCTTGGAACCGCGCAGGAGCTCCCAAAAACCTTTCTGTACTACTACCTGTAAAATCTAGCAGCCATGGTGTACGCGATCTCGTTTACTCTTTGGGAACTGCTTGGCTGATGAATCGTGATTTTTCAGCAACTTCACCGTCGGTCAGTAGCGCCTATCGGTTCCATAGCCGTCTAGTGCAGTGCTCATTGCCTGTCTCCGTGATGAATAGACCAGATCCGTCAGCTGATGGACCAGCCGTCCAACATCCGTAACATGAGTGTCATTGCCCATGGTGCGCCCGCCTCCTTTTTCCCGCGATGCTGAGATGAATTGATAACATTGTATGCAGTCGACCACGGCAAGTCCACACTCACCGACTCTCTGGTCTCGAAGGCGGGTATCATTGCCGCTAACAAGGCCGGTGACATGCGTTTCACGGATACACGAGACGACGAGAAGGAACGTGGTATCACCATCAAGTCAACCGCTATCTCCATGTTCTTTGAGATCGACAAGGACGATCTGCCCTCCATCAAGCAGGAGACGAACGGTTAGTTTGCGCGCCAACTCATTTATTTGCAAACGCTTATCAATTTCTCTTCGCAGGCAACGAGTTCTTGATCAACTTAATCGACTCGCCCGGTCACGTCGACTTCTCATCTGAGGTCACGGCCGCTCTCCGTGTCACTGACGGTGCTCTCGTCGTCGTCGACTGTGTCGAGGGTGTTTGCGTGCAGACCGAGACTGTGCTCCGCCAGTCACTCGGTGAGCGTATCAAGCCCGTCGTCGTCATCAATAAGGTCGACCGTGCTCTTCTCGAGCTCCAGGTCTCGAAGGAGGATCTTTACCAGTCCTTCCTCCGTACTATTGAGTCCGTCAACGTCATTGTATCGACCTACCACGACGAGGCCCTCGGTGATGTCCAGGTCTACCCCGAGAAGGGTACCGTCGCCTTCGGTTCCGGTCTCCACGGCTGGGCCTTCACCCTTCGCCAGTTCGCCACTCGCTACGCCAAGAAGTTTGGCGTCGACAAGGAGAAGATGATGGCCAAGCTCTGGGGCGACAACTTCTTCAACCCGGCCACCCGTAAGTGGACCACGAAGTCGACCGACGCCGACGGCAAGACGCTTGAGCGTGCCTTCAACATGTTCGTCCTGGACCCGATCTTCAAGATCTTCGAGTCCACCATGAACTTCAAGAAGGAGCAACTCTTTACGATGCTCGAGAAGCTCGACGTTAAGCTCCTGGCGGAAGAGAAGGATCTCGAGGGCAAGGCCCTCCTCAAGGTTGCCATGCGCAAGTTCCTCCCCGCCGGCGACTCGCTCCTGGAGATGATTGTCATCAACCTCCCGTCTCCCCGCACCGCTCAGAAGTACCGTGTCGAGACGCTCTACGAGGGTCCCATGGACGACGAGTCCGCCATTGGCATTCGTGACTGTGACCCCAAGGGCCCGCTTGTCTGCTACATCTCCAAGATGGTCCCGACCACTGACAAGGGCCGCTTCTACGCTTTCGGCCGTATCTTCTCTGGTACCATTCGCTCTGGTCCCAAGATCCGCATCCAGGGTCCCAACTACCTTCCCGGCAAGAAGGACGACCTCTTCGTCAAGTCGGTCCAGCGCACGGTGCTCATGATGGGTCGCTACGTCGAGCCCATCGAGGACTGCCCGGCCGGAAACATCGTCGGTCTCGTCGGCATTGACCAGTTCTTGCTCAAGAGCGGTACCCTCACCTCGTCCGAGACGGCGCACAACATGAAGGTCATGAAGTTCTCCGTCTCTCCCGTCGTGCAGGTCGCCGTCGAGGTCAAGAACGCCGCTGACCTTCCCAAGCTCGTCGAGGGTCTCAAGCGTCTCTCGAAGTCCGACCCTTGTGTGCTTGCCTGGATCGCCGACACCGGAGAGCACATCGTTGCCGGTGCCGGTGAGCTCCACTTGGAGATCTGCTTGAAGGTTCGTTTGCTTGCTTCGGCCGTTTGGGACCCCGAATCTGACTTTATGTTCGCCTATAGGATCTCCAGGAGGACCATGCTGGTGTCCCGCTCAAGATCTCTGACCCCGTTGTCGGCTACCGGGAGACGGTCAAGGCCGAGTCCTCAATCGTCGCTCTCTCCAAGTCGCAGAACAAGCACAACCGTCTCTTCACGAAGGCGATGCCGCTCGGAGAGGAGCTTACCGTCGCGATCGAGCAGGGCAAGATCAACCCACGTGACGATTTCAAGGCGCGCGCGCGTGTACTTGCTGACGAGTACGGTTGGGATGTCACCGACGCCCGCAAGATCTGGTGTTTCGGTCCTGACACGACTGGACCTAACTTGGTTGTCGATGTCACGAAGGGTGTGCAGTACCTCAACGAGATCAAGGACTCTTGCGTTGCTGCCTTCCAGTGGGCAACGAAGGAGGGTGTCTGCGCCGAGGAGATCATGCGTGGTGTCCGCGTCAACATCATCGATGTTACTGTATGTCTTCCCTATCTAAACTTCCATAACGACATTCACTCAATGGACTATTCCAGCTCCACACTGATGCCATCCATCGTGGTGGAGGTCAGATCATCCCGACGATGCGTCGCTCGACCTACGCTGCCTGCCTGCTCGCCGAGCCCGGCCTCCAGGAGCCCGTTTATCTCGTCGAGATCCAGTGCCCGGAGAACGCGATCGGTGGTATCTACTCGTGCTTGAACAAGCGCCGTGGTCAGGTCTTCTCCGAGGAGCAGCGTGTCGGCACGCCCATGTTCACCGTCAAGGCTTACTTGCCCGTCATGGAGTCGTTCGGCTTCAACGGCGACCTTCGCCAGGCGACGGGCGGCCAGGCCTTCCCCCAGTCTGTCTTCGATCACTGGGAGATCATGAACGGCTCGCCCACCGAGAAGGGCTCGAAGCTCGAGGACCTCGTCAGGAGCATCCGTACCCGCAAGGGTCTGAAGCCTGAGGTGCCGCCGCTTGACACGTACTACGACAAGCTCTAAGCGCGCGTCTTTGTCTCGGTCGGGGAAGAGAAGAACAAGAATGCCATTTGTTGTACTACTGTTGTTGTATCCCTCATCGTCGTCTGTCGCGTGTCTCTGTAGCGATGTCCAGCTGTTGTCCCTCTAGTCCGCATATATCTCTTTTTCACTCCGGAACACATGGCGTGAGGCGTATACGCAAGAAGACAACGAAACGTGCAAACGATCACCGTGGACAACTGCGGTCCGAATCGGAGTCTTCGATTACAAGTTTGCGAGGGAGGACGGCGTTCGCCGGCACGGGTCCACGCTAGCGTCGCACGCCTTTGTTGAAATTGTTCTTCTTGACTGCGATGCCACAAAGGTTCGACGTTTTTGGTCGACCAGCACCCTGTTTCTACGGATTAATATGTGTTATACCCTCGACGCGAGGTCATGGCGCTCAAGAAGATGCCCCATCACGCAGGGCTCGTTGTCATCTACACAGCGTCGCAACCCTTCTCCGCACTTCGCTTTCTTGACATTCTTCCTCTTGGTGGACATCCTTACACGTAGTTCCCGCGCTTCCAAACTCAGCAGACCAACGTGAAAGGGTGACTGCGGGAAGGGCGTCGACGGAGATCATGAAGCTGGTTGAGCGATACCATCGCCGTTGCGCGCAACATTAAGTAAGTACAGTGGAGGCTCCTCCGAACCACCGTGTTTGACTAATGAACTCGACCGCCTGCAAAGGAAAGTATATTCGTACTGGGTCGCATTGAAGAAGTTCTCGCGTACGCTTCGTATGATCTTGTCTATACATAGATGTTGCATTCGCCGCAAACGACCGCTTGTCCTTGTTGCGAGGCCACTCATTCCTTCTTGCTCCACCTCCGTTTGTTGACTTGGACCTCCCTTGATGTTAGATGCTCTCACAACTCCACCACCCCAAACGGTTAGGTGATGTTGCACGCTCGACTCGCGTATAAAAGGTGTTCACGTCTCGCCGAATATTCCTCAGCATCTCATCCACCTTCTCGTATCCTCAGTACCGGCATTCTCTTCATCCAACTCTTTCTTCTCTCGTCCGACGCCTCAGCCGTCCGACCCTTTCAATCGCACGCCCTCAGGCATATTCAGAACTTGCGCTCGCATCTTGCTTTTGCTTTTGCCTCGCTGTCTATCCGCTCTCTGCATCTGCACTCTTACTCACTCAACTCTCACTCGACAAACATGAAGTTCGCAGTCCTCTCGACTCTCATCGTCGCCGTGCTCGCCGCGCCCGCGCCCATCAACCGCGCGGCAGACACTTCTGCTGCCGTAGCTACTGGCACCGCCGTCGCGACTTCGGCCGCTGGCGCTGCCACGGGCAGCGCAGCCTCTATCGCTACTGCAGCAGGCGCTTCAGCTACTGACGCTGGCGCTGGCACAGATGCAACCGTGACAGCTACCGACGTCGGTACCGCCGCGACTTCTACCGCAACCGGTGCTGCATCTGGCTGCGGCGGTGGCAAGCATCACCACAAGGGTGGTAAGGGTAACGGCGGCCAAGGCGGCGCCGGAGCCGGTGCCGCTACTGCTACGGACGCTGGCGCGGCCGGCGCTGCTTCCGCGACGGCCACGGACGCCTCCGGTGCGGCCGGTGCGGCCGTCACCGACTCTGCTGCTCCCGCCGGCTCCGCCGTTCCCATCGCGCGTAACTTCGGTCGCAACTTTGGCGGCGACTCGCCTGACTTTGCTGTAGTGAGGCGCGCAAATGGCGGTGGTCTCTTCGGTGGTCTCTTCGGTGGCCAGGACCAGGGCCAGGATGGCCAGGGTGCAGCTGGTGCCGCTGGTCAGGGTACCACTGGCGTCACCGGGACTGGTGCTGATGGCGCGGGTGCCGGTGCTGCCGGTCAGGGCGCTGGCCTTGGTGGACAGGGCACTGGTGCCGGCCAGGAAGGTGCAGGTGCCGGCGCTGGTCAGGGTGCTACCGGTTCCTGCTCTACTGGAGCGGGTGCTGGTGCTGGTCAGGGTGCAGGTGTTGGCGCTGGCGCCGGTGTAGGTCCCAGTTCAGGCGCGACTGGCTCGGACGCTGGCACTGGTAGCACCGGTTCGGGTGCAGGCTCTGGCTCGACTGGCTCTGACGCGACGAGCGCGGCCGCTTCTAAGGCTACTGCTACCGGTGCCGCTGGTGGTGCCGCTGCTACCGCCACGAGCGCTGCCACCGTTTCGACTGGAACGGCGGCTTCCTCGAGCTCATCGAGCTTCAGCTCTGGCGCAGACTCTGGCGCCTCTGGTGCGATTCCCGCCGCCGCGTAAGCTTCTCTGCCACCTTTACCCCTACTCTGCACCTCTTGCACGGACCGCATACATACTCTTCATGCACCCTGTGCATATACAATACTCACATGGCTCGTACTGGGACTGCGTTCGCCATGCTTGCAACTTCAATGTATATTATCGCAATACCCGCTTCTCATGACCAATACCTTTTCATTGCCTCATCGTTACATCGTGTGGTCTCTTCCAATATCTTTTGAGCATTATGCGACAACTGGTAAGGTTATAAGCTGAGTATAACGTTGTCTGAAAGCCCCATTGTGCGACCGACTCGGCCCAACGGTTTGCGTTCTCGGAGGCGGCGCTGAACAACTGAGCACCCGAATGCGCGTAGGTACGGCCTTCCCATGTATGCGGCGGAAAGACTTTGTCTAGCGTGCATACGTAACATCAAGCAGTGGCCCATGGACAAGATTCTGCATGAGAAGCGCGCATTACACGAAACAACCTGCACATTATCCAAAAGAGAGATGTAAGATATACAGAAGAAATCCACGGAACGAGCGGCGCGGATAGCGCAGTACATATAATGAGGCGACATGGGTGCGCGGTGGAGTAATACGTATATGTAGTGAGTATGGGTTGTGTCAACGGGTGTCTATCGTGAGTCGAGCGGGTCTACTCGGTTTTCCCCTTGCCCTTCCCGCGAGAACGGCGGGCGTTCATCTCTTCTCGAGTCATGCGCGTGCCGAGTAGGACGTCCCAGTGGACGAAGAACGGCTGGGAGAAGTTGGACTTGATGCCGATGATCTGGAAGATTGGGCGTAAGTATCAATATCAGGATGAGCTGGGCGCAAAGGTGGAACGAACCTGATGGTGGATATCATGATAGTCGGCGGTGTTCCCACTGAGCCATTGCAGGGGGTCCAGAGGGAACGTGTACCCGCAGTGGTCGTCCATCGTCTTGCACGTTGCGAAGCAAAAGAAGAGTGTTGCTTGACGTAAGGAGAGACACGAGATTGCCTCGCCCACCGCAGAGCCGAGCGTATCGAGGAGGAATCCTTCGACTGGATGGTTATACAAAGCACCGAACGCGTATGGAACGTAGAGACGGTGATGCCATGAGTGGAACCAGCGGTAGAGCGTCTTGTTGATATGCATGGCGCGGTGCAGGAAGTATTGCCAAGTATCGACGATGAACCTGTGAATGTGGTCAGACGACATCCGGACATATTAACAGCACGGACATACATGGCGAGGAAGAACTGGGATACTGGGATGATCCACCAATACATGGCCCACACTGACTCGGGCCCCGCCGCCTTCATCGCGGTGTACGCTGCACCCTGACCAATCAGACGCGACAGGACGCCGTACATATTTTCCGCCAGCACAGACATATCCATCTGTGGATCTGGCGCAGGGCCCCTATCGTCCATCCACCAATAAGCGAGGGAAACCTGGATGAATTGCTGAAAGAGCACGGCGCGGAGTACGGCTCCACGCGAGACCAGGTTGCGAGACTTGACTTCGACAGACTCGTGCAGCCTGTAGCGCTCGACCCAGGGCGAGGTAGAGTGGTCGAGTGCTTCGAATATGCCAGCCACGAGCCAGTGCACGATGATTGGTGCCCAGACGGCCAGTACGTAGTCGGATATGTGCAGTCCCGGGATCGCTTCCTCCGATGGCGAGAAGTAGAACGGCGTCACCGGCGAGAAGCTGTCCGGCATAAATATTGGCGCAGACGCATTCAAGGCTGCCATGGCGGACGAGGAGAGGGCCAGATGAACACGCGTCCGTGAGCGTTAGGTTTAAGAACAACTCGCATGATCTCCTCGGACTACGGAGTTTGCCGAAGAGCTCGGCCCGCGCTCGGCCTCGGAAGAGCATGAGGCTCGCACCGCCGCGGTTCCTTCTCGACCACCATCTGGACGGTTGCACGAGCATATGCAATATTTCAACGCCTTGATAACTTCAGTCCCCTTGACTCACGGGACGCATGTTTTGGCAAAGATGGTAGACATGCAATGGAACCCTGGGTTAGTGCAAGTTCGAGTGGGTGTGATAGGGATCCTGTGGGACGATTCAAGAGGTCAAGTCCACTAGAGAAGAATGTGCGTTGGATAGTGCCCGTATTGGTTTCCGAAACATACGCGAGATTGTCAGATAAGTATGATACTCGAATGGTTTTACTCGCACGGAGCCCTCGTCTACACTTGAAGTATTGAGGCTCTTAAGAGGGCGAACAGACCTCCGTCGCCCGTCGCCCGTCTTCCATCCAGTGGCTACGGCAGCATGTACGCGCGTCTTTGCTAGGACAGGATTGTCCATCGCTTAACTTTACCTTACATGAGGGTGTCGCTACCATAGACGCCGCGACGATGTGAACCCTCTTCGTCGGCTGGACCTGCCGTTCCAAATCGGGTGCACAACCGGCATACCGTCACGAGTCGCCTGGCTCCCTACACGCCCGCCAGTTAAGTCTACGTTACTCCGCCGGAACTTTGTGCTGGGATTTCTACCAAGCGAACAAGCGACGGTCCTGAGAATACTGCTTGCGGACGAAAAAAGCCGATGCTCTTGGGCTTCAAGGTGAGGAAGTGTCCGTGCATGACGATCACGCGTTGTAGCGACCGTCACTCACTGATCAAAGTTGACGGTATATATTTTTATCATGCTTCTTGCGAACCCGTTTGGTCAATGACTTGCTAGACAGGTCTTTAGACACGAGTTCGTGCACAGGACCGCTATAGGAATGCTTCCTCCCTACAACACGTGTGGCCGCTGCATACAAAGCTCAGGCTCGGTGGTCTCAACCTCATCCTAAGATGCGCTCCTCTCAAGTTCTTTCACTCACTCCCAGACCTTTGAGGATGGCAACCTCATCGTTCTCCCGCTCGTCCTTTGATCTGCGAAGCGCGGTATGTTATCCGCCCTAATGCAGCTCCCGTACTGAAGGCCGCCCATCGTGGGTATAGACCTATTTCCCCTCATATCGCCAGCTACCTTTTGACAATGACATCAACGACCTCTTCTACAAGCCAAGCAAGGATGGCATCTATCGTCCGTCTCACCACTGGGCCTTCCTCGCAGAGATCGTCGAAGCCCGGATAATGCGCCTCCCACCTAGCATGAATGTTATTACAATCACGGGCGACCTCGGGTTTCAGCGCCCTTGCTATCTCGTACGAGACCGGGAAGGCACCGAGATCAATGTCGCGTTTCATACTGAACCCGTGGACATGGCGATCCACGGTTTCGACGAGAAGAACTACGCCGTTGGTAACACGATGGCCGTTTTGTACGCCAATAGACATTGCTTTATGGATGGAACTGAAGGTTTGCGCATTGAGGAGCTGCCTATTATGAAGGTTCGCCGTTCTTATTCTCAGTGTAGTTTGAGCGAGGCCATTGTAACGTTGTCATAGGTCATCCCGTGTGCACTGGAGACACTCCTGAACGTCGACCCTGAGGTCGCTACCACTGCTACTTTGTGCAAGAGATGCGGCACGGACAACGGCAAACTGCTCGTATGCGCAAACTGCAAAATTAAGTACTGCTCTCAGGCGAGTACTCGATGTGCACAGGCGAGAGCTATACAACTGACAGGTTAAGTGGAAATGTCGACATGCCGATTGGAAAGCACACAAGGCGGAGTGCGCGGCGATAGGACTTGTTCGCGAGTGGCGCCATCGAGATTGGTCCCAGTTTGATGGCTTTTGGGAGGAGACGACGATGATAGATGGTCTGAAGCTGTCCGCCAAAGGGCGCGAGAAGACATAGGACATTTATACCATCGTTCGGGAACTATTCTCTTTCGTCCGTCTACTGAGATTGGGTAGGGTATCTCAGAGCCGATGGATAATCATAGTAATCATACACAAGTGGCATGTCCGTAGAGAAAGCGTGAGTCTGAGCTAGAAGAGTCGACGATCGAGGTGACGCGGGACGAAAGACATGGGACACAACGAAGCCGTATGGACAGATGTAAAAGATTCAGACATCAAAATGTTCACAAAGTGTCATAAATAATCGATTGCCCTAGTGATGTCCACCTTTCGCACCATAGACGCCCGGTGGCTGCGACATCCCGTCATCGTACACCGGCGGGCTATCCTCGTACTGCGGCTGCGAGCTTCCACCAGCGGCACCCGCAAACGCGTGTGGCGGTGTCTCGTCGTGGAAGTCCGGCACAATGTTGTCACCGTACCCACCACCACCGAGCGTGTAGTGCCGCTGCGGTGGAGAGTGAACAGGCATTGGCGGGCTCTGTACTGGCGGCGAAGCGTAGTACGAGGCGCCGGCGTCTTGTGGTTGCATTTGGGGCGATTGGTAGTACGCGTCGTGAGAGGTCTGACGTTGCGGCGCGGCGTAGTACGGGTCAGAAGACGGGTTGTATGCAGCAGCGCCACCGAAACCAGGTGGGTTGACGGGCGCTGGTTGGGCGTAGGGGTCGTGATATGGGCTTGAGTTGGACCGTGTGGGATCTACGGCGCTCGTCAATTGATATTCTGGTAGAAGGCCGAAAAAGGATGGCTTACAGTCATGGGTGACCGCCTGACCATAGGCGACACTGGAGGGCGCTTGCGAGTGCGCGTATCCACTCGCGTTCGACGGATACTGCTCATGTCCGCTGTACTGGCTGGGAGTTCCACGTGCGTGGGCTTGGCCGGCGGCCAGGTACGCATTAGTTCCTGCTGCTGCAGCCGCGCCGCCCAAAGGCACAACAGCGCTCTCATCCACGTATGTCGTCGAGTGATTCGAACCCTCGCGACGCGGCCCCGCCGGCTGCGGAGGATACACGTTCGGATTGTAGTACTCGTCGACGGCACGAGTGCCTGGTGCGGCTTGAGCGTACCCAGTGACAGGATGATACGCCGAAGATTCCTCCTCATCGGAGTGCTTCGTCAGAGGCTGTGTGGGATCGTACTCCTGGAATGCAGGAAGACCAACCTCGCCACGCTTCGCCCGTGCTTTACGGTCAGCCTCAGCCTTGACAGCGTCCAACCGCATTTGGTCCTCGTAGTTATTCGAGTTGTTGAAACCGGGGAAGCCGCCACCCTGGCTGCCATCGCGATGCTTCGGGAGCGTATCACGCGGGCGGCGAGAGATACAACAACGACCGATGCAATAGAAGCATCCGGAGAACAGGAGCAGGAGCCAAGCTGCCAGCGTCAACCAGACGGCATTGCCTATCTCTGCGTAGCCACCGTCGACCGAGTTTATACGCGATTTGGCGATGAAGAAAAAGGCGAGGTCAAAGATGAAGGCGGCCAGAGTGACGGCGGCGCCGAAGCCGGAGATGCAGGTGCTCAAGCAAGAACCCGAGAACTCACGGATGTGAGCCAAGATGCCGAAGAGCGTGGATCCAGCAGCAAGGATGAGGGCGACGATATGAAGGACCAACGCATAGGTGATCCACTTGACGACGACCTGGGGGATCTGGATCTTGGTGTCGTCACCAACGAGAGCATTGATATCTATATGATATTTCAGCATGAGCCCTAATAGCCATAGCTCGTGTGAGCGCGTACCAAGCTGATAGCCTACGTGGGGTGAGGTGCAGTTCGTGCCGCTCGCGAGCTGGGTGCAATATCCCAGGGTCCCAAAAGTGATATTCCCAGTAATGCCCTCAACGGCAAGGCCGGCCTTCAGGAAATAGACGGACTTAATCCATGGCACGCAGAATGTGACGATGGCCAATAGTACAGTTGCTAAAGACATCATCAGGATGTTTTGACACTATTTGTGGGAGCCAAACGCACCGGTGAGGGTCACAAGGAGACCAGGAGTGGCCGGACGGAGTAATCCCATAGATCGTAGAGTGCGCAGCCTCCCTTATAATATAATTTATCGCTGGCCAAAGAGTGGGGTGGTAGGGAGGTGGTGGCGGGGAGAGGAGAATCTGGTTGAGAAGGAAGCAGGATCCTATGAAGCCCGTAGCAGGTCGGGCTATGCACGTGGGGCGGCGCCGCACAGCATATGAACCTTCTTGCACCTCACCGTCATGCTGCATGGACCGCTGTGCGACGCGGCTTGTACACACCCGCATTTTGACCCTTGTTCTCGCTTCACAACCATAGACGAATACATTTGAGAGTATCACGGCTCATGCCAGCAATAATGGAAGGCTTCAACTTGTATCACGTCACGAAGGAACTTACGCGCGCAAGTTGACCCAAGCGGCGTGTTCGCCCGTCTTCGTCGCAATTCCCTACGCCGTGGTTATGTACCTTGGTCACTGCCCGCCGCCATGTGCTCCTCAGCAAGCCGGAAGATGTGCCGAGTGTCGTCTGTCAAAAGGAATCTCACGGGGTTTGCTGAAAGCAGGTCACGTCTCAGTGAGCAAAGCACCCCATTGGTGGTCGCCACGTTCTCGTCGAGCCCAGCTATAAATTTCTACGCATAACGCAACGCATCGCATCGCTTGATTCTCGACGGTCAAGTCGTGCCAGGCGCGAGTTCTCATTTCCGCTCATCTTCTGACCGTATGGAAACCGTCTGTCCGTTGTCCCTGTTCAAAGGATCAGAAGAGCTGTAGTTGTATCATGTATATGTGCTCTCAGTCCCACGGTAACAACGCACAACCCAATGCGATGGGCTATCGTATATTGGGCGCTCGGTGTTATCAGCGGGCAACGCTCTCGCAGGAGCACACCCGCCAAGTATCAGTGCACAGAGCTACATGGAAAACCATGATTCCTCTTGTTTTCAATCTCGTCCAACATGGTAAGTCTCCGCCAGATATAGCGACCCCAGTCTCTGATGGCAGGAGATTTTTGTCAACAGGGCCCGCAAAACGTATTCACGTCACGAGGCACTGCATAGAATGCCGCCTTTTGCTAAGCGGCGTTCTGGCCATCAAATGCATCACCAGCCTTGTGTTGATTTTCATATAATGCCGACCGCGACTGGACCCGTTTTCCTCGCCTGCGGCATTGCTCGCCGCTACGCGGTCAGCCTCCATGTTGGTCTCATTCCCGTCGTTGCGTTCGAGCCTGCTACTTGTGTCGTGCGGGGCCGTTGCTCGCGCTCAGACCTTTGCCATACCGTCGAACTGGCAGGTGCGTTGCGCCATCTTTGCCATGCGAACTTTCGCGCTGACCGGTCCTTGCAGAATACGTCGTCTTATTTGGATCGCGCTGGTCGCGAGATACTTGCGAGTGGTGCAGCCAACGCCTTGATATCTCGTATCGACTCGAGCCAGGGGACCGTTGGAGGTGCAGTCAACCTTCCGCGCTCCCGGACTGTGCTGATTGTTGCGCAGGCTTCAACGGCTTCCTCTCCGCCAGCCTCGTCTCCGTACTTTCCCTGAAGGACAACCTTAGTGGAAACACTACGTACAAGCAGATAGTCGACACGAGCATTCAAGTATACGGTCAACAGAACCCCAACTACTTCTGGCTCGATCCGTGCGTGCTTCTCACACGTAGGGTCCACAGTAGCAGGTTTTTTGACGATGTTCTGTTGCAGGGTTCGTCCCTCGTCTCCCAAACACGATGACCGAGAATTTGGGGGCTGACAGGTATCAACCAGCACGTCTACAGTGATCCGATGTGAGTTTTAGTCATATGAAATGCACATGCATCTACTGATACCTCCGAGATGATCAGCTATTGGGGCTTGGCGTTCTTCTATGCTTACCGTGCGTACCGTGACGACTTCCTGCTCACGACGGCGGTCTCGCTTTGGAATGTTACTTCCGCTGCGTTCATCTCCGTCAACGATGCGAAAAGCTTCAAGCAGGCCAGCCGGAATGTGACTATCAAGCCCATTTGCGACGATTGTGAGTTGTCCGTGTGTGACCGAGCACTCATGACGTTGATCAACATGTATCCATTTTCTAGTCTCAATCGCGGGCGGCGTCTTCTGGGTACGTATATGCTCTACAACACGCGTTTACCAATCGCCGATGCATAGTTGTAGGATGAAGAGATCCGCAACACTACCATCGTCAATGGGGAGACCATCGGGTGTGTAGTAGTAACCGCAATCGAGTCAAGCATAGCTGACTCGTCCACTTACTCCTAGACCATGGTTGACGCACTTGTATAGCTTCTTCCTCACCGAGCGTATGCTCATGGGATCATCACAGCCTTTCAGCGTACCTATATGAAGCGACCGGCTCTCAGCAGTATCTCAACGCCGCGCAAACGTCCGCCGACTTTATGCAGGTTCACATGCTTAAACTAGGACAATACGTCTACGATTCATACGACGTGGCGAAGTGTGCGACCAGCAATCAAACAGTCACCCATAATTCTGGCTGGTTCATCGAGGGTATGAGCGTTCTGGCTAATGTCACTCAGAACTCCACGCAAGCTCAATTGTGAGTGCCCGTTTACTGTATGCCATGGTGATGCTTCATGCGATCTCATCCATTCAGGTTATATGATCTTGTACCTGGAGTCGTGACACAGAACGGATGGACTCTCAAGACGGGTGTCAATAGCGAAGGTAAGAGTATCCTCCGTCGCTCTGTCGTTGCCACGATCGCTGGAATGACCATTTGTGTAATCATCGGACCCGTAGAGTCATCAGCGGGAGCGTTGAAAGGGACTCTCATTCGCGGGCTTACTGAGATGCGAAGCCGCTTCACAAATCAGACGCAACTTGCCAGCCTCATCGAGGCCTATGTTGCGGTCCAGTTCAACTCTATTCTCGCGAACGCTCGAGCGGGTACCTCGGACAACTACACTGCTTCTTGGATCGGTCCTACTCCAACAGAGTTTCAGGGGGCTGGGAATGTCGTCGCTTTGGATGTGTTCAACTCCATGTTCAGCTTCGCTCCGCCCGTTGTCGGAACACCGCTCAGCGGCTCAAGCTACGCGTCGGGCAACCTTGGGTTGGGAAAGCCTGGGCGATTCGTGGAGGTCATATCTGACGATGGTCATCATCATGGCGCGACGACCGAGCCTCCTACACTACCCACAGCACCAAGGTCTTCTGCGACTGGCCCGACTATCGGAGACGACTTCATGCGTGTCGAACGCACAAGTGTTACAGCCGCTGTCGACGAAATTCCCAACCTCGTAGCGCGACTGAATCATCTCCTTCGCCGACAAGAAGCGCGATCGCCGACAAGCGACTTGCCACCCGCGTACGGGTCATGATGCATGGCACTGCACCGCCTAATTTATGCATGTTCAAAACATCTCAAGGTTCACGCGTCTCCCGTCTTTGCTGATGGTCACCTTGCTCTGTTCTCGTAATAATGATATGGCGCTTTGCAATGAATGAGGATATGAAATGAGGGATTGTCCAGATGTGCGTAGACCTAGAGCTCATCCTTCCAAGGGGAGCGCTCGTCGCGCGGCTTGGGTGGCTCAGACGTTAGCATCGCCGCGATGAAGTCGTGCGCAATATCTGCGGCCGCAATGCTGGTGATGTCGGCAGTGTCATAGGCCGGCGCGACCTCCACAATATCCGCACCGACAATATTCATTCCCGCGAGCCCGCGAATGATGCGTTTTACCTCACGCGTTGTCCAGCCACCAGCCTCCGGGGTCCCGGCTACGAATAACAGTTAGATGTGAGCCATGAGGCACTTTATTAAGTGCTTACTGGCAGGAGCAAGACCAGGGTCAATGGTATCGATGTCGAGACTGGAATCGTCGTCAGGTTGACGCGCTTTGGAGACGACACGAGGGACATACGTCAGGTAGACCGGGTTGTCACCAATGTGTGACCTGATGCGGCGGATGACTTCCGCGATACCAATGTCGTCAATGTCATCTGAAGAAACGACCTGTGGTCAAGCCGATTAGCAATGGCCACTGATAGCAAGCGAGAGCACTGACCTTGAAGCCAACGGATTCGTCGTTCTGGATGTCGGCCTCGCCCAACATTTTACAACTAGGTGATATCAATATGAGTGAGCCACTGAGGCTAAGGAGTCTTAGTACTCACCGGATACCACCATGGATGCTAGCGTTGCGGATGAGGTTCTCCTCGTGCGCGATGTAAAAGAAGCTGCCGTGCGTTATGCGCGACTGCTCGGAAATGGAGTTGATAGCGGGTTTCCAAGTGTCGAGGTGTGCATCGAAGTGAATGACGGAGACCGGGCCGTATACTTTGTTCAATGAACGAAGGATCGGCAAGACAATGGTGTGGTCTCCACCAAGCCTGAAAACGTCGATGAGTCTGAATGTCAGCGGGAGAAACTCAAGGCAGACGTACGTGAGGATACGCGGGTGCGCCTTCCCATCAAGCGCGAGGTTTGCGGTGACGTCTGTTGCTGCTGCCTGAGCGTCTTTGGCGACGGGATGGGCCAGAAGAGTCGAGTAGGCAACCTCCATCTGATCGATAGCGACGGCGTTGTCTGAATGCCTGGTCAGTAGACGTAAGGGACATGTGAGTACTAATGACATACCGAAGCCGTTCAGAGGAATATCTCCGCAGTCCATAACTTTGGCACCCTGTAGATATGGGTCGAGGCCCCAGCTCAAGGTGTACCCGCGTCCAACATGCTGGCGTCTGCTGCCCATGCGGATTCCCGTGGGTCCAAACCGAGCGCCCGGACGATAGGACGTAGTAGTATCAAATGGCATGCCTAGTACAGCGATGTCGAAGGCCTGTTCAGGCTCTTGCAGGCAGCGTGCGTACTCTGCATGGCTGAAAGACAAAGGCCCGGTGTAGCCCAGATCCATCTGCTCGCCGTATTTCTCCAACCAGGAGTTTGTACTAGGCGCAACCTCATTGACGCGGTTGGAGCTAGAGGTCGCCTTGGCAGCCTGAAAGACAGCCTGTTCTTGCTCCGACGACTCGTAGTGTGCTCCAGGATGCGCGATTGCGAGTCGAACGAAGGCAAGGAGAAGAGACGCGGTCGTAGCCTTCATCCTCGCGTAGGTCAAGTGTAGGTTCAGGAAGCACGAGGAGACCGGTAGCGCTAGACGCCTTATCTATGTCCTCGACACGGCCGAAGCCCACATGAGTCCGAAGGGTGAGCGTTGTGAGCTTATCTCTGGGTCGTTATCGCAAGGATTTGCAGGCACAGCAGGGGTAAACTAAGATATCGAGACAAGGCCGAGAACTCTAAAGATCTAGACGTTCCCGCATGACTGAAGCTGAAAGCACTCGTACGCCCATCACGGCTGGAACGAAGTTACGTTGGCGGACGTGGTACACGATACCGTGACCGCGTTTGATGGCGTTCCGCGACCTTGGAACTCGACTGTCACCTGCAGAATAACCGCTTCCGGCAAATCTCGGCCGTCCACCTTGCTCTCAATGAACCCAATGGACTATCCCGACTACGAGCCGACGTACGCAGATCTTGGCATAGACCCGAACAACCCTAATCAGGGATACTATCCATCCGACGACGGTGATCACGGCCCCGGGGACTCTGCCACCGATACCGACTACGCAAAGACGGAGTCGGACTACGATGAGGAGCATGACTCTGACTATGTGGAGGAAGAGCCGCTCAATCTACGGAGTCAAGTATGTTGAGTCACTAGCTTTGATAGGGGCCACTGATGCTTTACACGTAGCGGTACTTTCCCGATTGGGATCACCTCCCTTGGGAGGACTCCCTTAACACTAGGTTCTGGAGCGATGAATCCGGGTACTTTGCTCCCTCCCATCACTGGGCCTTTGTCGGCGAAATGATCGAGAACCGCTCTCTGTCCAGACCCGGTTTTCTACTCCGCGACAGACAAGGCAAAGAAGTCCTCGTCATGTTCTACCTCGATAACGATGTGCAAGCGGACTTCAAGAACTTCCGTACTGGTTGTACGGTCATTCTCTACTATGCGGAGAAACGCCGGTTCATGGACGGACAGATCGGCATACGCGTCGAGGAAATATCGAGAGCGAAAGTACGCAGAGCATTGGCCCACCCTACAACCATTGTAACCACCTATAAACTGATTTCAGGTTCTTCCCTGCATACTTGATATTCTCATGCAAACAGATCCCGGAGCAGTTGCCTCTTCGTCTTCATGTGCGACGTGCAACAAAACCAGCTCGACTCTCTCGGCTTGTTCAGCTTGTAAAACACTTTATTGTTCTCGTGTACGTCCGCTTCTTGCTGTGATAACCTACGTTCTTCTCACATACTATGGCTATAAAGGAGTGCCAAGTCAGCGCGTGGAAGTCCCATAAGCCGCAGTGCGCGGCATTGGCGCAGGTACGCGAATGGGATGGCAAAAATTGGAATAACTTCCACGAGTACTGGTACTGAAATCTTTTGGCGTACGATTGGTCTCTTGATGGAATCATATGCTATACGTGTTTGTACATCAGTGAGATATGTTCAATCATGCTATATTGTCATATGCGTCGCTGTCGGATTTCCCCATGTTAGTTTCGCATTCATATTGCACCTGTCCTTCTTGCCACCGTGCGCAGAGGGAGCACCTGCCACACTCTACGCCCT